CGAGGAGTCTGTGGTGTCTGAGGCAGGGTCAAATCCTTGATGCGATCCTTAGGGTTGAAGAAATTGCTGCCAATGGGAATCCGCCCATACGAGGTTTGCTTGCGAAGCTGGCAGCTATCATATATGAGTGTCACAGTAGACAATGATGATGTACATACAATGGAATTCGCCCAAACTTTCATTCTATTGGAGTTCAAGTCAAAATGCCAGCCTTGTGGTTCTTGAACATAGCAGCAGATTGAAGGGTGAGTTGCACAAGTACCAATCTCGTGCTCGTCGTTAAGTCTCTCCAGGATTGGTGTGATTTGATCATCAAATGAAAGCTGCGCATCATTTCAATGTCAGCAATTTCACTTGCTGTCACCATGAGCACTCACTTTTCTCCCATACAAGCTACCATCATCTTGACGTTTTTCAGGAATATCCAGAATCGGAACGGGTGTAGCTTGACATCCGTGTTTGGTAGGTCTTGGAGTTGCGAGTGCAACAATGATGATTGCGGAGTCTGGATCTCTCATTCCTCAAATCTGCTTCTTCATGGTTTCATAGCCAACAGCATCCTTCAAAGGAAGAGGATTTTTCTTCTGGAAGCTCTACTTTGTACTAGACATATCAATATTCTCCCTCTCGACATTGGCAAACACCACTATTTCATCAACAAACTGGTGCCAACTCATCTTCGGAGTGATGTTGAAAGGACCATCTGAAACAGGTGGCTGCTTCACGAATTTGTCACCCTTGGGAGTCTTGCCTCTCTCCAATACCAGTGGCTGGGCAACCTCAACATACACAGGTACGGAGAAGTCCTTTGGGCCTTCTTTGTGAGGTCGTCCACGTGAGCGAGGCTTGATAACATTCTTCGTACCAAGGTTATGAGCCTTTTTTGCACGCTTCGAAGCTTTAGAAGGCTTTGATTTCTTCCTTGCATTGGCTGAAGGATCTTCTGCCTCAGAGGTATCTGCGGCACAGTTGGAATCATATTTCCGCTTCGATAGCTTACTACCAGGGATCCGAATCTTCAGTGCAGGCTGCTTGGCATAAATTGCATCTGCCTAGGTGTCAGTTTATTCCCATCGAGTAACAAGGAGGTAGTCACAGTAACCTTTGATCGCTTGTAGCTCAGGAGCAAGCTCTAACTCCGAGTCATCGTCCCCATAGGTTTCATCACCATACTCGCCCGAGGAGTCTTCCATACCACCAAGATTACCATGTTCTTCGTCTAAAATGTTGCCAGATTCCATATGGATACCATCAACAGATTCATCATCAGAGTGTTGTGAATGAGAGGCATCCTCCTTGTCGGAGCATTCAGTTACTGTATTAGACATAATCTAATGTTCAAAAGAGTGACACTTATGCTTTTCTGCTCGACTTTGAAGGAGAGTGGTGCAAGTTTGCTGAATTTTCGATTTATTTGAATTTTCAACATTTCTACTATTTTTGAACCATTTCAAACACGTGAGTCAAGACTTTCCGGAAGGACTGTAGTGAGCCGTTCTTTGTGCAGTGGGAGTGGCTGGGCCCGGGTTATACAAAAGTGATCGTTGACAGTGTAAGTGACGAGCGGTGGGACATGAATGGAAAGAGATCCAAGAGCGTTGACAGCCGGTGCAAAGGCCTTATTTTAATGCTGGCCCTGGTGTGGTCATTTCTTCTTCATTATAACATCTGGTTTATGTTTCGTATCATCCCTAGACTAGGGTAGATATGTGTAGATCATGAAGCAATGAACGCTTCCGCTCCGAGTCGAACACGAATATCATGATTATGTAATATTAATGGTCGGGTACTACATGATCATGTTCACCCTCGTAACTGCGATGCGACGGCTCGCCGATATGAAAAACAGCACTCAAATTCGTACACGAAGTATCTGATGATTTTTGGGCTATGATATTACTAGGACGGCCCGATCTCGATGTGCCATATGGCGCTTAGTCACATCATCGTTGTGAATATTGGAGTGTCAGGGATGACAGTGCATGAGAATCTTCAACGCAGCGCCAAAATCAAATGCGTGTCCTTTCCGGCACGTAAAATCGCTACCTGTCCATCAATCAAGTGACTCCTCTCGAGTTTGAAATGCACATCTGGCTGAGGTACACCATTCAGATATAACCCATTTCCGAAGGCAAGTTGTCGTGCTGCCGCTGAAAAAGTGTTGGTCAACTTCAATAGAACCAGAGAAAGGCAGACGAACACTTTGATGAGGTAAGCCCAAATTTAGCAGCGATGTTTGGGAGCGTTATTCCGAGTAACTCGTCCTCCGTACAGAGAACGAACCGTGGGTCATTGGCAAGAGATTTCACAATATCTTTCGCGTGCAGGGTTGAGTAGTCTGTTCCAAAAAGGACGTCGGTTGCTACCCGTGCAGCCTCTAGGCCTTCCTCTGCAGGACGTGTCAGAGAGCGCAAGCGGACATCAGGCTGACCCTCACTTCCGTGTATCATCCGTGTTACTTCTTTGGCAAGAAGTTTCTGCGCCAATCGGCGTTCAGGGTGAATTTCATGGTCTCGCACAACAGCATCTATTTCTTCGGCAGGAAGCAGAGTAAACATATTGAGGTACTTCTCAACATCAGCGTCCGTTGTACGAAGGAAGAACTGTCGGCAGAATTGAGCTGATGACTAGTAATAATTAGCCTGCATACCTGATAGAAGTCTAAGTAGCTTGTGAGTTTTTCGTCAAGCCATACAGCATTCCCCGCGCTCTTTCCAAACTTCTCGCCTTGCGAGGTTGTTAGCAATGGTGTGGTCAGTGCAAAGCACCCCTCATTGTATCCAGCAGAATCTCCTTCAACTTTGTTTATGAGGTCGATGCCGGAAAGGATATTCCCCCACTGATCTGATCCACCCACTTGAATAGTACACCCCCTTGTGCGAAAGAGTTCGTAGAAGTCGTAACCCTGGAGAAGCTGGTACGTGAACTCGGTGAACGTGATGCCATTGTGTGCATTCATTCGCAATTTTACACTGTATCGTTGTCATGGACAAAGGAAATGTAGGAAGATGAAATGACGGACCTATCCCTTGCCAGCATATGATTTACGCGGAAATGAATCCCGGTACTCCGCAAGAAATCAAGAAGATTCAATTTCTTTAGCCAATCTATGTTATTGACAACTTGTACCTGAGAAAAAGCGGGCAGGGAGGAAGCCTTATCGAGGGCATACTCGGTCGCGCGAGAGAAAAATCGCTGAATAGAATCGGTAAGTTTGACAGTGTTGGATTCAATTTGAGCCTTTTCCGACAGTGAGCGTTCTATCAAACGGCCAGAGGGATCTCCAACAAGCCCCGTCGCTCCACCTATCTGAGTACATTCAGTGAACTTTCAACATAGAAACGCGCAGAATTACAAGTGCTAGCGTGTTATGCCCTCTGATGCGGAAATGCAACAGACAGAGAAGCGGGATGAGGTGGCCCGCATGTAAAGACTTTGCCGTTGGGTCAACCCCAACATAGATGGTTCGTGTTTTCTGCAAATGCTTAGTAAAATCATCTAGGCTGGAACGCGTCAATACATCCTCCCACTTTACAATATGGTAGTTCTCACCGCGTCACATCAGCAATGAGTTGGCGAGCACTCAACTCTGACAAAATGTCTCGTCCTGAATGTAAATTTCTAGTCCGGGAGATAACCCTCCAGCTGAGAGGCATTCGATGGGCTGTGTGAGGCCATCTACGAACAGGTGTAAGCATTATTTCGTGTGTTCACCGTTGAAGGAAACAGCATTCCGAAGGAAAAATAAAATCACGTGATTATAACTGTCTATCATTTTTCATTTAAAGTACTACAGCCTGAGACGTCTTAATACGAGCAACTTCTAGAATCTGTAGTACTTTCGGAATTTGCAGACATCGGCCTCTCTGGGTTTCTCCAGTCAGTGAAATATGCAATTCGAAGTTATTGCAGAATGCCACACAACTCGAGCGCGAGTTTGCAGGATGAAGCTTGCCCGTGAGTCCTGATGCAGTTTTTACCAGATACTACGGTCATTACAGCGGGATCGATTCAAGTTGCTATTCACAGATGGCGTTACAATGCTCCCTACATTCATGCCTGTAGCAACACAGGCAGCGATCAAAGGCTTGACCCCACAACAGGTTGAATCGCTCGGAATCACACTCATTCTGAACAACACATACCATTTGAATTTGCGACCTGGGATTAAAGTCCTTGATGAAGCGGGAGGGGCTCACAAATTTCAAGGTTGGAACCGTAACCTCCTCACTGTAAGTGCAACTTTCAGAAGCTTGTCGCGCTCAAGCTTAACTTTTCGAAGGACAGTGGAGGCTTCCAGCTGGTCTCCCTGAGCAAGTTCACCAAAATCACCGAGGATGGTGCTTTATTTGCTAGTCCATTCAATGGAGAGCCAACAATGCTGACGGTTCGTCTCTGATGGCTACTACTGCTTCTTCTGTTGATGTACGGTGCAGCCTGAAGAAAGTATCTCTATACAGCATTCAATCGGAGCAGATATTATCATGCAATTAGATGACGTGGGTAAGGCTGCTCATATCATATATATTTTAGGATTTAATTTTTGCTCAGTCAGTAGTTTGACTGTCGGACCTCGAGTCAGTGAGGCGATGCACCGTTCTGTTCGATGGCTCGATCGTTGCATCGAGCAGCATGAGAAATCCGGCCGAAAAGACAAACAGAACCTTTTTGCTATTGTTCAAGGAGGTTTGGATCCAGCCTTGCGAGATTTATGTCTTGATGCAATGATCGAGCGGAAGGATCGAGTCGCTGGATATGCTATCGGGGGTCTTAGCGGAGGAGAAGAAAAGGGTGGGTGCCTTAACTAATCTGGAGGCTTTGGCAACTGATGTACCTTCTTGAGACGTGTTCTGGAAGATGTAAGTCTCGTTTCGGGATGTCTTTGTGCACCTGATCTCGTATAGTATCAAGCAGTGTGCAGACCGGCTACCTTCAGATCGTGAGTATATCGATTTATTCTGCGAAGCCCCCTGCGAGCTTCTGCGCACTTAGGGCCCCGCTATTCCATGGGCGTAGGTTTTGCAGAAGGTGCCTAAACCGCTTGCTTCTCGCAGTTAATCTTGATCGCCACTCCAGATCTGCTGGTCTGCGTTGCATTAGGTGTTGACATGGTAAGCTCGAGATCCCTTGACGCAAAGTTCACTGACAGTTGCTCAGGCAGATTGCGTGTTCCCTACTCGGACTGCAAGATTTGGCGTGGCCTTAACTTTCAAAGGGCCCCTCAACCTCAGTGCGCTTATTTTTGCCAACGTCATGCGATGCGGACTCATTGTTTGATGAAATAGAGCTTGGAAAGCACGCGAAAAGCATGGAGCCAATAGACAAGAGCTGCCCTTGTCCGACATGTGCAAGCGGCGTGTCCCGAGCTGTGTTGCACCATATCGTGACAATAGAGACAGCTGGTGCCCACGGTAATTCGAATGCCGTTTCTTGCGGTATACTTGGTTGATCTTTGCTCCCAACAGCCCTCACAATTCACAACCTTGCTTTCCAGGCCCGGGTTATGGGCTGTGCAAGAGATGCTATTCTCGAAGGTCGATTCCCTGAGTACCTGAGGTCATTCTTCTTCGATTACTTCGGTGACATTGGATACCCCGAATGGTGTGTAAACGCCCTGCGCAGCGTTGGGGTAGACCTAATGCAGGACGTCGACGTGCCGTTAGTTCAAGGCTCGGGGGTGAAGTGGGAATACTCGGATGCGGCTTGACAATGACATGTCATATGCAAACGTAGGGGAACAGCAGATATTGGAAAATAGTGTAAAAATCAATTCCTTCCTTTGCGACTCGGCCGAGCATTCTTAGCCTTCTTCCGCTCTGCCACCATCCTGTTTTTGCGTATCTGATCGACTGTCTTGATCTCGGTCTTGACTCTGCCCACTGATTTCCCTCCGAAACGCCCGCCACTTCTGATCTTTTTCGCCTTACCAGGACTTTTTGGTCTTGCCTCCCCGACTTCCGCTGCAAAACCTTCTTCTTTCTTCTTGAGCTGTCTCGACTTGCGCTCGTAATCTTTGCTGAGCTTGTCCAATGGCTTAGCCTCTGTGACCTTGTTGTGTTTCCATCTCTTCCCTCCCGGCCTGACCGCACCAGTACCCCTCCTCTCCATCTCCCTTTCTCCGATCTTTGGCAACGACACCCTTGCTTTCTTCTTCCAGTCGTCAAACCGGCCACTTTTATATGTAGCAGGCAATTGAGTGCCATTCTCCGTTCGCAGAAGTTTCATGTTGTCGGAGCCAATTCCGCCCCCTTTGACAAATTTCTTCTTTTTCTTGTCCCATGACAGCTTGTTCTGGTGTCGTTGACGTGCACCGATAGTGTCCTCATCTCCTGCAAGGTCGAGGATAGCACCCTGAGCTTGAGCGGCAAAGGAAGAAGCTCCATCTGTGAGCGAGTAGCTAGGAAAATAACATATGTATTTCAGTGTGGACGATCAGGGGCAGATGGAAAATACAAACCCTTTTTCAGTTATGGCGTCCTTTTGATAGTGGGACATGTAATAATCCTCATCGCGGAAGTTATTGCTCTTCTTGTTAGAGACATGGAAAACAGCCTGCAAAGAATCAGTTTCGAACAACTCGAGTATTGAGGAGACGAACCGCAATGTCTTCCTCGTCCGCCATTTCCACGTCACCATCCTCACCTTCCCCAAGACCGTCGTCACCGCCCTGGTCTGTGTCGATAACAGCAGAAGAACTGGGCCCTGGATTTCCTGCCCGCTCCACGGCCTTTGCAAGCGCCTTCCTCCGTTCTTTCATAAGTGCAGCATTAGCAGTCGCCGCTTTTCCACGAGTACCAACCTCGAACACCGTCTCAGCAGGCTTAAACGAGTTAACCGCACGGACGATCGCGGCGCGCTTCTCCTCCATTTCCCTCGTGTCCTCTTTCCCGTCATCGCCGTCCTGCGTTAACGTGAGAACGGGGTGTATGACACCTTCCTGTCCGTTACGTCCAAGTTCTTTTGCACGTCGATAACTCGCTGGGCTGGCCTTTCCACGACTTCGTTCATACATTGCGTGTCCACGTCCCATGACTGCACGTAGGGTGGGCAGTGTATTCTGCGACTCATCTAGTGTGCGAACGTACTCGACTTCTGAATCCATTAGGTCTCGTGGAAATGGAGCAAATATTAGTGATTGAGTATAAGGCTCTTCTGACGTTGTAGCTGATGCAGGGATGGCCGAAGTAATTAACGGCCGACCAAGAAAGAGTTGCAGGTCGCAGAGATATGGTAACTCGCCATGAGCAACGAGATTCCATGCCCAACCTTTTCTTCCAGCTCTGGCCGTGCGACCCACGCGGTGAACGAATATCCTTGCACCGACAGGGAAATCGTAGTTTATCACGTTTTCGAGAACTGGTATATCAAGGCCACGGGCCGCAACGTCCGTGACCACCAATATGCTAGTCTTTTGCGCCAAGAACTGATTCATTTGGTATGTCCGAGCAGATTGAGTCAGCGAGCCATAAAGAGCAGAGACAGCGTAGCCAGCTGCGGTAAGGAGCGCAGAAAGGTATTCGACGTGGTGTTTCGTGGCTGCGAACACGAGTGTCTGGTGAGGCGCACTATGAGTTGGGTGTTTGGCCTTGAACTTCCCCTTTTTGTGTTTACCCGAGGATTCGGTATCATCTTCCTTGGATGACTCGGCACTTCCGTATGGAACTTTGATAACATCACGGAGGAGTACCAGTAGAGATGCATCTTTCTCCGCTTGTTTAACAGAGAAAAATGCCATTCGTAGATCAGAACTTATTTTGGACTCTGCGTCTAGTCGCACAAGTTTGGGGTCGGACAAACCTGCTTTGGCAAACTCGACGAGGGATTTCGGGAGGGTCGCCGAAAAAAGAAGGGTCTGACGAGACGTGGGAAGGCGAGCAAGGATCTCAGTAAGTGCAGTAGCAAAACCAAGTTCAAAAAGACGGTCTGCCTCATCGAAAACAACATATTGCACGGATGACAAAGAAAGTGACATCTCAACGATTAGGTGGAGGAGACGGCCAGGAGTTGCGATGATACTACGCCGCGAACGATATCAGACGATACGCGAATGAATGAAATGCACGTACATATCTGGATTATTGCTGATCATTTCAAACTGTTCATCCAGACCCTCGCCGCCCACGATCAGACTCCAGCGCAAGCTTTCGCCTTTTTTATTTGAAGAATCTTCCGCATCATCGCCTGCATGCTGTGCAGCATCGTTGGTCCAACCTCGCACAAGCGCCTTGCCAACTTTGACCACTTGAGTGGCGAGCTCTCGTGCTGGGACTAGGATAATTGCCCGAGCTCCAAAGGTATGTGCATGTCTGCCTCCAAGACGTTGTACTAAAGGTACCATGTACGCAAGAGTCTTTCCAGAACCAGTCCGGGCCATTCCGACTAGATCCCGTGGTGGAGATGCAAGAAGGGCAGGAATGGATGCACGTTGTATAGGTGTGGGTGTGCGATACCCCTGGAGCGTCAATGAACGCAGGAGTGATGGGTGCAGACCTAAAGTGGGCCATCAGCGCACGAAATTCATTGAATAGGAGCACATACCCATGCTTTGGAAGCTTCCCCCTCCGGTGTCACCCTTGCTTTTCCCTTTACTCTTGATCTTTTTCAGCATCTCAGTACCGCCTTTGATATTTCGCTTCGAAATAGAATCGTGAATGAACTCTTCGATGTCATCGTCATTATCCGGGTGACTTTCGATTAGACCGTCTTTTCTCGGTCTCTTGCCTGTGAGAGCACTAGATATGTCGACATCGAATTCGTCGTCTGAAGCAGGTTGAACTATTGAAAAGTCTGATTTTGTTTCTTCTTCTTCTTCCTCCTCTTCAATATCTCTGTTCCTTTTTCGAGATACCATGGTGTTTTTGTAACAAGTCAAGGTTCATGAATGTACACAGCCACCGACCACATGATTAGTCATAGTGTGAAATATTTCTTCTGATATTCCGTACACTTGAACCTGAGCTTCTAAGTGGGCCGTACATATAAAGATTCAGGGTTCTTATCACTTCTTCTTTATGATAACACTTGCAAGATATTGTTCCCATCATGTGCACATCACGCGTTTTACTGCATAATTCAATCGGCGAGCGCCGAGCTTCAACGGGCCCCCCTTGGGGCTGCTCATTATCGCCGCGATAGCCTGCCCCTTGTTGCTGGCGCCGGGTCCGACCCCCAGGACCACAGAAGCTCACCCGAAACATTTGAGGAATGATGCATGCCAGCGATACTGTAAGTCTATATGACATTAACCGGACCGTCGGCAGGCTATTCAAAAAGCCCGCCCTGTGCTTTCATTCTACCGGCCAAGTCGCGATCGAACGCAGTCCAGGCTACGCGGTCATGAAAGTAAGTAGTTCATTGACCGAGACGAGGCCCCAACCATGATCCGATATGATATCATGACGAGGCTGTACTCATCATGCACATTACCAACGTCACCGTCGGATCCAGCATAACCGACGCGTAGATGACAGTCGTGGATTTGCAAGTCTCATCAGAGTCAGTTTTTTCTACGATGTGTCTTCAGTTCTTGCTAATTAGGTTTGATCATTTTATAATCTGTTATGCAGATACAGATCAGTGAGGTTCGGGGGTCCTTGCGCGGCTATGGTCGCCTCAGGGCTTGGCCATTCGTTGCGAAGCCAGTACTTGCCAGCACTGGTATGTGGAGATTCGGCGGTCAATTTAGAAACAAGTGAACTTTTCAGCAAAGTCTCAAATAAACTAAATGGTGCTCACAGAAATTATCATGCATATATGCAGTCAGCTCTACGCTGGCAGTAGTATAAGTAAAGCCTGCAGAACTCAACAACTCAGGACAACTCAGGACATCCTCTGTTTTTTTTACGAATTCCTCGCGATTAATCATGCCTATCAATACCTCGCCCCGTGCTATTCTCACTTCATTCTTCGTGCTTCTCACGCTTCTCTCCTGCGCATTATGTGCTCCTGTTCCTGCCGTGATGCGCCGTGATGCATCGGATATCTGGATACCCAGAATCACCTCCCCTACAAGTCACACTAAATGGACTGTTGGAGGGACATTCCTTGTCACCTGGGATGGGTCCTCAGCACCTCCCCATGTGACCAACACTATTGGCGAGGTATACCTTCGCCATGGCGGTGGAACCCAAGATAATCCCATTGCATCTGGATTTTCACTTCATGATGGTAAAGTCTACGTCACGGTCCCTCATGATACTACACCTGGGAAGTACCAGGTCGTATGTGAGTATCTTGTGTTGCGCTATCTTGACCCAGAAAGTTAACAGTAAATTCAGTATTCGGTGACTCTGGGAATTGGAGTCCAGAGTTCTGGATTAAAGCAGCCAAATAAGCTGCTTGCAGAAATCTCAGACGAGAATGAAAGATTGGGAGGAAAGAGCGATACTATGATTTGATGCTCGGTGAACTTGACGATGAACTTAGGCCGTCGTGATGAACTGAACATGAAATGAACAATCGGTATCTCATTTAACTTTTTTGGTTTGAAAACTATTGTACTCTACATTCGCATTTTCTTGGCTGTACTTGCAACTTACAGTAGTTGATGTACAGGTTTCGGCGGCCAATTTAGGATTCGGAACAAAGTTTCGATCTTTTCGGCAAAGTCTCACGTAAACTAAATGACCCTAACAAAAACCATCACACATACATGCGGTCAGCTGCGCTGGCAGTATATAAGTCAAGCCCGCAGGACGGAACAACCCAGCTCATCCCTTGTTTTTTTACGAATTCCTCACGATTAATCATGTCTATCAACACCTCACCCCGTGCTCTTCTCACTTCATTCTTCGTGCTTCTTACACTTCTCTCATGCGCATTATGTGCTCCTGTTCCTGCCGTGATGCGTCGTGATGTCTGGGTACCCACAATCATCTGCCCTACATCTGACTCTACATGGACTGTTGGAGGGACATTCCTTGTCACCTGGGATACGTCCTCAGAACCTGCTGAGGTGACCAACCCTACTGGCAAGATATACCTTCGCCAGGGCGATGCAACCCAATCCAATCCCATTGCATCTGGATTCCCACTCACTGATGGTCAAGTCGACGTCACGATCCCTGACGATACCACACCTGGGACGTACATGATCGTATGTGAGTATCCTGTGTCGCTCTATCTTGATCCAGAAAGTTGACGATTAATCCAGTATTCGGTGACTCTGGGAACTGGAGTCAAGAGTTCTCGATTGACGCAGCCACATAAGCTGCTTGCAGAAGTTTTTGTCGATGTAACAAAATCTCAGACGAGATTGGCGTATGATTTGATGATTGGTGGACTCAACGATGGACTTAGGCGGTCATGATAAACTGGACTTGGACAATTGGCATTTCATTGAACTTTTTTTTTGATTTGAAAACACTACTGTACTCTACATTCGCATTTTCTTTCGTAAACGTCGTGCTTCTGATATCACTTACTAGTGTACTAGTACGTTAGCTGTACTTACAACTTACCGTAGTTGATGTAAAGGCTAAAACTTTTCTTTGTCCTCCCCATTTACTCTCTCATTTGAGGTTTCAGGCTTTCAGTTGAGTGTAAAAAGTGTAAGTGCGTTGCAAATGTCGATCGTGGGGATTTTGTGGGGTCGATGATAACTTCCACCAAAGCTTTTTGATCAGCCTGTCGACTGAACTCTTTCCAATGCAAGATGTCTTGGTCGCCTTCCACCCCATCAATGACGTCGCTTCCGAACGCTAGCGGTCCACAACTATTGTCAGGGACCCTGCCATCACCTGAACCATTTGACTCACTATCTTATACGGGCCCCGGGGGTGCCGATCTTTCCCTCTCAGAACTCTCGCTTTCAGACAAAGACACAGAACATTTTCGTTTTCATGATAGACCACGTTTTAGTCTGCTGGCACCGACTGCTCCGACATCACAGTCATTCTCGCCTGATCACAGCAGAATATTAGAGGACGACGAATATGAAGAAGGGAACGATGAGGGCTTCGAAAATGATGTTAATACTACTGTGATCGGAAGGGTCGCTGCTGCAAAGGCACGGGAAGTCAAACTTCAGAGCGATCTCTACGTTCTCAAGAAGCTGAACGCGTCTTTTGCGTTATTTAATGACGCGTTGCGGTCTACTCAGACTGCAACTGAGGTGTGTGTTACTGCTGAGCATGGAATCGGCTAATGATTATGGTGCCTTGTGTCTCTTTTACAGCAAGTGACAACTCAACTCGCACAGACGGATGCGCTTCTAGACAAATATGTCAATATGCTTGGGAAGTCAGAAGCTGTGGCTAAGCTAATCTTTGATGAACAATGGGAAGGCGCAGAAGCTGTAAGCTATTATTTCCTGATATCTCCCCATGCCATAACCTGGCTTGCGACGCGTTTTTCCTACATCTCTCTGTGAATTTTGGACTTCTTTGTGGCTGATAACGCTCAATTCAAGGATGAGGAGTTGCTTCAGCAAGAACGACAGCAGGCTCTTGAACAAGCTCGACTAGAAAAGGAACGCCTTGAGCGGGAAGAAGCAGAACGGAGGGAATCAGAACAGCGTGCGCGCGCAGCTGCGGAGGAAGCTGCTCGCCACGAGGCAGAAGAACGTACCCAACGCGAAGCTGCAGCCATGAAGGCGCCCCGTGGCCGCGGTACCGGCGTGTCGAGTGGGGTTCGGGGTATTCGTGGGACAAGAGCAACATCGGCAGCTGCAGCTGCAAGAGGCGCTAAGGGCATTCCCCGTGCAGGTATGGGAATATGAATATGTCAACCGAGCCACGACCACATTCTGATTTTTGCACCAGCCTCGACGAGTACTTTATCAGCGATCTCTCGCAGTCGCTCTACTAGCGCCACTGGAAACATCGGAAGCTCAGGCGGTGGAACGAGACCTGGATCATCTGCGAGTCGAGGAACAGGCTTGCCGCGAGGCGTACCTAGGAGAGGTTGAGCCATGTTCCTGTGCATAGGCAGGCTCTTCACGAAAACTCGCGGCTACTGCACAGTGCCAGGATTAATGACCGGCAAGAAGCACTGAACTCGCTATCACGATACTCTTCCGGCTGCCTTCCGCAAGGCTTCTTCATTAAAGAGTAGAAGGTCACAGCCATCTTGGCGCCCAGAAGTCGTGCATCCTAGCAGATCTGCAGAGCGATCATAACTCACGTCACATTGAAGAATCATACCCTTCGAGCTCCACTTACGTTTAGATATGATGCCTGGACATAGGAAGTTTCAATTTCATGAATACGAATTTGCAGAGTTAGGGGTCCGGTTCCTCTCGAGATTAATTATGTCTCACTGGTGTAATCGGTACCCCACACATTCACAAAATTCCTGCTACCGCACGTTAATTAGGGCCCGAGTACTAGTGGATTTGTTTTCACATGGTCGATCGTCAGGCCCTCGAGCTCGGGCCTATCCGAAGTCACCAGGATTTCCGTTGTAATAATTTAAGATTCTTCATTAGTACAAATCGCGAATTCGGCTGCAGGTTGCTAGCTCGGTCTTATGTAAAACGTCACCGATTCTCGAACATGCAGATAACATTGGCACAGCATCGCATATCTAATACGCGAGGGCCGTGCAGCGTGTTGAGCCGACGCCAGATAGGGTCGGGATCTGCCAACTCCAAGACTCGCCTATGTCGCCCCACAAAGACGCGTCTGTGGCGTGAGAAATCCCATGATCACTTCAACCATCATGTTGTAACAAGTAAACCTTGCACCCTTCTGCCTTTGACCGAGTACATATAGAGTGAAGCCGGGTGCTGTGAAGAAGCCTACTACTATGCCAGTCAAGCCGGCATCAGAAATCGAAATCCTCTAAGCCAGGTATCTCGAACAGAACAAGACCAATGTAAACAACAATCTACATCAACAAAACAACCATCACCTTCTGATGGACACGTAGCCTTGAACTGTTAGTCTGGTCCTCTTATCATGCTCGACTGATCACCACACTGTGGTGCCTGTCCCTCACTGGCAGTCCCTGCATCACAGGGGATGGTCGTCCGAATATTGACAGCCTAGACGAAGAATTGGTGAGCAATGAGCCCATTGATTAGAACAATGTTCCAAATGGGTGACAAGAAGAAGAAACAATCCATCGCAATAGCCGCGGGCACATGGTCGCGCCACGGCGAAAAGGTGATACCAGAGCGGCCACTTACTCGGACAGGCCTGACGGGATTCTTGTCCCTCGTGCAAATGGAGAACGGACATCCGATTCGATAGCGTAATTGTTATGCGAAACATGAGGCGTGGAGGAAAATCTTGGAAAAGAATGAAGTCCCTGCCCACTTGAGGCATCAGAGGCCCGCGCTCCGGGACCCTGTACATTGGATTTTGTGCGAGCCAAGCTCACACTTGATATTATAGGAGAGACTCCGACATCGGCGTAGCACGATTGAGTCCGCTTGTTCATGACTGTGCTACAAGCAGACACGCTTTCACAGTGTCTATGGCAGCATCCGTTGCCTGGTGGACAGTGCACGACAACAACACTGCGCTGTTCAGGCCTGTCAAGCGAGTAGACTTCTTGAACATGGTAAGGGTAAGGTGAGAACGAATGCTGATTGTCGGAGCAAACATAACCGGATGCGCGTGCTTCAGTTGCAGCATCTGCGGGTGCTCGACTCTTCTCTTTGTTGGCAACTCGGTGTCGTGGAAGAGAAGAAATGGATTGTCCGTCGTCTTCTGAATAATTGACGGCTGGCAGACGATTTCGCACAAGATGTGTTGTAGGATGATGAGGGCTCGTCGATTCTGCATCCGTCTGGCCATTCTTTCTGCGAGCGGAAACAGCCCCTGGACGAGGTTTGACATTTGCAGGATCAAATGTCCTTGAAGGCGGAATCATGACGCGAGGATCCAAGTTCTGACCTTTACATATCTCTTCGATAGTGGGGTACCGCGCTCCCATTTCGAATGACGCAGGAGCAGTTACTTGTCGACGTAGATCTCGAGGGCATGTTGTCTCCTCTATGGACATCACGGAAGAGGTGGGCGAAGCTTCGGCCTTTCTGATATGACCGGGGCGGGATCTTGTCAGTAAATGTGATGATTCATTTATGCAAGAACTTGAAGATGTGTAGGATGTATCCTCCAAGGTGACCTGGGGTGACAATCCTCTTTCTGGCTGAAGCCAAGGAACTTCCTGTAGGTCCACGTACTGGGCCACACCAGTTGGCGGTTCTGGTGACAACGCTTGACGTGGAAAATGAAGTAGGGACATATCATCCCATAGCGACTGGGGTGGCTGCATATTGACAGTACAAGCATCGGCAGCGCGATCCATTCTGCTCGGAGCCACTAGCTGGTACATGTCACCATCCATCTCATTCTTGATTCTAGTCGCGGAAGCTGACGCAGCGCCTGCATTTGGTCGGACTGCCTCCACTTCACCCCTTTGTAAGGCTCCCTGCCATACTGCAAAAGCTTCCTCGTATGTATCAAATCTTTGGTAAACAGCGCCTGGAACGTGTTTGATTTGTCCGTTGCATTCTATCCTGAAGAGCGCGTGAGCTTCACAAATCCATAAGGAATTAGCGCGACATATTGCGTCGACGCGTTGAATTTGCGAGGATAGGAACCTACCAATTCGGATATATACCTGGCTTCAAACCCACAACCACCACATACGATTTCCCCATCAAATGGGTTAGAAATGAACGCTGAAAAATGAGGACTCAAAGGCTTCAGGAGCTTTGAACACGCGACTAGCTAGTGAGGTCAGTCAATGACTTGGTAAAACGATTCGAACCTCGCGACAAGATGACGTACATATATTATGTAATAAATGCGTTTTTAAAAATTCTGAGGTACTAATGCATTTCTCGTACAATATTTGCCTGGGGAGCATAGGTTACGATTCTAGCGATGGAAATAGCCTATATAGCTATCGATAAGCAGACAGTCTGCGTAAAGACTCGGGTAAAGAAATTGGGAGAGCAGATCCTTACTAGGTTCAGGGGGGATTGCTTAATAAGGAGATGATACATTGATGACATAACTAAGTGAAAAATCCAGATCCGAGTCAGCACACAAGTTATCTACTTACTTTTGGCACACGCCATCTTGTGAAGATGGAATTTGTTCCAGGACCCGCTGTTCATCGTGTGCTCTGTGCTGATTGTGGCAAGTCTTTGATCTCGAAATACTTGCTCTGCTGACCCCCATCATCATCATCAGGAACATCGATTGTCCCAAATTCCGCCAATTTATGCGTGGCATGTCTTCGAAATACGTGAGTATCATTAGACGACGTAAGATCATGATCTGAGACTACTCACATGTGTATAGCGTAGACATAACCGAAGGCATCCCAAAGCAGTGTGTGTTGCTGTGAACTTTTTGAGCATCATGATACACGGTACTGATCACGATGATCAGCCTCGGTCTCATTTTGTAGAAATTGCGAGCGTTTTCTGTCGCCCCCTCAAACTTGGACCCTCGCTCGACCAGAATCACAAGAATTACTGGCGATCTGTCTGAAAAGGCTCAAGGGCTTGAATAAAGTCCGGTTGACGGAAGCTCACTTCATATGGACGGAGCCTCACTCGAAGCGATTACGAGTCTCATTGACGATTCAGAAGGAGGTATGCACGCCTTTTGAAGAATGTCATTGCATTGTCGCTCACATCCATCAGGTTCTAACTTCGACAATACTGGAGCAGGTCTTTGAGATCGAATATCTTGTCCAGCACGGACAATGCCCTGACTGCACTAAGCTTGCGGCGAAAAATACGTGGAAAGCACTTGTACAAGTCCGACAGAAAGTCTCCCACAAACGGACATTTTTATACCTCGAGCAGCTGATTTTGAAGCACGGGACACAAAAAGATACGATATCCGTCAAAGAGGTCAGAGATGGTCTCGACTTCTTCTACAGTCAACGAAGTCATGCGATCAAGATGGTCGAATTCTTAGCAGGGGTTGTTCCAGTGCGGTAAGCTGCGTCATGACGGCTCGTATTTTAATTCTCATCACACGTAGATCGAAAGGTTCCGAGCAGTTGCTCTCCACAGACACTCATTCGGGCACTGCAAACTATAAATTTACCTACTCTGTCGAGATTGTTCCAATTTGCAAGGATGACCTGGTCTGCATTCCTCCAAAACAGGCACGGCAGCTGAGCAACATAAGCCCGCTTACCATTTGTACTCGAGTCGGCAACTCCTTCCAGCTTTTAGACCCCGCAACACTGCAAACTTGTGAGATATCAGCACCAGTTTACTGGAGGGCGCCCTTCGTACCTCTCGCGACGGTGACAGATCTAGTTGAGTTTACGATTTTGGACATCGAACCCTCAGGCGCCGTCCGTGGCAAATGGGTCTCCGCCGACGCGCAGGTAGCAATGTCGGGTGCATTCAAGTCACATGGATCCTACGGTGACCAAGACGCGATCATGGATCACGAGAACTCTAGTGTGTCAACCCAGATCTTCCACACACGGACACATCTAGGAGCTATCCTGCAGCCCGGCGACACTGCGCTCGGATATCATCTCAGCAACGCCAACTTCAACTCAGACGACTTCTCATCCCTTCCTTCATCTCGCATCCCGGATATCATACTCGTGAAGAAGACGTACCCGAACCGCAGGAAGAAAAATAAGACGAGAAATTGGAAGCTGCGGAGTATTGCGAAGGAAGCCGGAGAGGAGGGCGAAACTGGGGCCGGACGAGGTGTTGTTGGACGTATGGGCGGACGAGATCAGAAGAAGGTGGAAGAGGATTATGAGCGGTTTTTGCAGGACCTTGAAGAAGATCCTGAGCTACGTGGCACGGTTAATCTCTATGCGGCCAAGGATACCAAGATGCGTGATGCCACTGATGGAGCACGGAAGAAGGGGGGCCAATATGGAATGGATGTTGATGAAGTGGACACGAGTGACACTACTGTGGTGAATGGAGACGAAGAGGATGCAGAGGAGGAACCCGACTTCCCCGCAGTGAAACTGGAGGAATTATTAGAGGAATTCGACGAGATGACGCTTGAAGATTCAGAGGGCTCGTGATTTCTGCGATTTAGGTATGATCTTGTCGAGCGCTCAAATATTAAAATATATGGATTTTCGGCTGCTCTTTTCTTCCCCGGGTTCTCTGATGTCCTTCTTTTTTTTTTTGAAAAAAAAGGCATACATATACCAGGGACTGGTGAGATGGTGTTAACTCCGTTAAGCATATGGACATAAATCATTGGAACAACATACACTCCCATGGTCGCTTTTAATTTGTGGGGAAGAAGTACAAGAACTCGATGCGGCGGCATCTCAAGGGAGACAAATTCAATTCAACCTCCTCGTTGACAGCTCCTGATTAAGTTGGTAAGAAAGCCCACAAGTTGCGATGAAATCGATCTCACTGTCGAACCATGTATTGAGGATAAAATAGTCAAGGCCTGCCAAAAACAGAGGGTATGATGCTGCGAGATTTATCACATTTACAGCGTCAACGGAGAAGAGCTGTACCATATGGATGGACCTCGTGATGATATAGTAACCTAGTCAGTTGCAAATAGGCACGCACATACGCCCTGATACCAGTGCGACAGAGAAAATGCGCAGATGAATGCAGCGACGGCAACCAGAGCAGAAGCTGATTTATCCCAGCCTAGCAGCGAGTATGAGTCCAACATACGAGATGTAGATGCTCCTGGCCACTCCGCCTTGTTAATCACCAGTGGGAGTCATGACCAAACTCGAAACGTGATGCAATGTTCCCCCATGGAGAACGCTTTCCTGCATACAAAAATAATACAGCCACATTCTTTGGCATGACAAGTGAGGGGGATGATGTCGTCGGTGTCGAATTTCTCATGTCTCAGAGTCGTGAGTTCGATAAATTCAACTGACTCGGTTGTGAACTTCAGCGACGTACCTTCAAGAAACTGGTCGTCATTACTAATGAATGACGCCCACGCTCGTTGAACCTTTGCGACTTTAAGTGCCTCCGTTCTGTCCCACCCATGAATTTTGCGCGTAGAATATTGGGGGCGCGCCCAACTTGGGTGTAATGCGGGTAAATGGGGCGAACTGCATTTACTATATTTGGTTCGGCCAACATTACACTCGACGCCCACGTACGCCACAACTAGCAGCTCACATGGTCGTCCGGTGCTGATCATTCTAGCATCTAGTGACACTCCAACTTGCATTTGATTGTTCGCGGCGGTACCTGAACTGAAGAAACCGCGGGAATTGAGAGCCACCGAGTATGGACGACTAGCGGAGTACGGTGGCGGGATGCGACGAGCTGAGGTGCGTCACATATGACCCACCTCCAAAACTGACACCTTGCTCGAATGCGAGGAAGATTACAACAGAGCACGTCTTCTAGGAAAGTAATCTTCGTTATCTTGAATGAATAGGATTTGAACATTACTGTGACACCTACTCTAGGTCCTGGAAATTCAGCTGGGATAGGGCCCGAGTTCCAACACACGCTTCATAGTACGCGCAATGATGAAGAATGGACGCTTGGGCTACACGCGAATCTCCTTCAATCTGTCCTAATCCAGAGGTATGAACTTTGTCTCTTTTGGCTACCCTTACTGCATCTATCTATGATGCTAGCGAGCAAGCAATTCCCAGATGCAGCAAACTCACTTTCACAACATTTGAAGATGTGCTAAGAATCATTTCCTAATCGCTCTTTTGAATTGGCCTATAAGCAAGCTGTCTAGGTCATTTCAAACACGTACATGCGCTCGCTGGCTCGGCACAAGCTAGAAGACGGCTAGAACTGGGTTTGTGTGAACTCATGGTGTTTCCATGGTGAACATATCATTCTCCTCCGACAGCCCTCGATGATTAATACTAGGTATCCGTCGGGTGAGGAACTCAAATACCCTCAGATGGAATACAAGGAACAAGGTACAAGGACTCTCGTGTTCCTGTCCCGCGGGACCTAATGGGATTTGTCTTCTTCAGAGACCTTGAAATTCCGAATACTGTCAAAGTTTGAAGCAGACTTCGTGAAACTTAATCTTGAAGCACATGTGTCATATGCAGCGCGCTACACATGAACTTCCGATCTGCCATGTCTGCGATAACTGATCTTACGAAATGCCATGTAATAGTGGCGGTCGCGATGCATCGTTTTTCGGCAACGCTCATGTCTTCGAATGCGTCGTGAGCACTGATCAGCTGCTTCTTGAAATTTCTTATCGCCGAAGGTTTTCCTCTGGACTGCACATCGCTCAGTGATCCTCACCTGTCGCACCGTATAGTCTACTCAGGGCTCAGTTGATATATATCTGAGCGGTGATCGCGCCCAATATAAGCCCCAAGCTGGCCCGAGTAGGACCGAGTTCGGTATTAGCGCGAGGAAATAAACCGGTGCTACCCTCTTTCTGCCTTTTCCCATCCTCGTCGGGGACTCGTGACCTCAAAAGAGTTTAAACACACGTGCCCTATCTTCCATTCCATAATTGCCTGATGCGTTTGGGAACCTTACGATTTTTTACGATTTACGAAAACATGTACAACCGATATGAAGGTCAGGTGTTGAATGCCGTCATTTCACCACAAGGTCCTCATGCGTCATAATCATTCAAATATTCAAGCTAGACTTGCAATTGCAGCAATCTATGAAAATTCTCTGTTGCGCTGGCGAAGAGAAGTGTGTTCTAAGTACATGTAGATAGGTATAACTATACACAAAGCCAAGGGTATGACGGAAGTATGTATCGCAAAATGAGATGAGAAGGGTTGATGAGTTGTTACAAGTTGTTACACTGAAAAGTTCCGTGTTTGTGAGTAAAAATACACCCGTTAGTTACTTTATGGGAACCAAGGAAAAATAGAGCACTTGTGATCAGAAGGCGGATAATGACGACATGAAAGCGGAAAATTCCATATCCACGCTGGCAAGCTCCAGTTTCCCCGGCTCGAACAAGGAAATTTGGTTTTTCGAGAAGAAATCCTCATTCGAGAATGACGATGGGTCCAGACTTTGGGAGTGACCAAATGCGTCGAAAGTGTCTGGGAAACCCCCATTGCAAGGAAGGGGATAGGAGTTATTGAAGGAAAATGAACCGGACATAAACGGATCTTCGTTTGCCGCGCACAATGTATCGAATGATGAAGAATTGAGGGGGAAATGAGGAGATACAGGAGAGTTACAATAGGGCGATGAAGCTTGCGACCAGTCAGAGCTGCCCTGTGTGGTGTCGATAACTAATGAAGGCGACTGAACCCGCGTCTCGCACGGTGAAGGAGAAAAGTCAGGGAAAGTTTGACTGGCGGAAGCTATCGAATTGCCGAACGCTACGTCGAACATGAAAGGATCAAATTCCTGCAAAAAAAATTGTTAGCGGTGTGGAGCCGAACAGTCCGGCACGGCTCACCAATGAAGGTTGTGGTTTCACAGGGAAAGAATAATCTGATGGAATAAATGGTGACGATGCTGAGATATCGAGACAGTGCTCTGATGCTAGACCATCGGATCTCCGCGGAAGATCATCATATTGAGACTTCCAAGTTGATGAGAGGGACGGATGGCTGCTTGTAGAACGTACGCGACGTGGCGCGGATGATGATGAAAGGAATGGCTTCTTCGTTTCCGGGTTGTCAATTGGAGCGGATGAAGATCGGCGATATGCCCTAGCAGTAATGGGAGCCTCGAAGCGTGTAACAACTTCTGGGACATGCGTACGGTCGAATTCTTGAATTGCATGTTCCAGCTCCTGGCCCTTTTTTCCCTCTACAAGGAGCTCAGCAATTTTCGCGCAGCGCTTCATATCCTTCGGCTCGACTTCCCGAACTTTGCGCTTCTCGGACCCACCCTTTGCTTTTGTATGGGAAGGACGGAAAGCATACTGCGGCCACTTCCGCCTATGATCCTCCAATGCCTTCTTTGCCTTTGCGTGCCAAATCTGACGCTCGTCATGGGGCATATTCTGCCACGTAAGACCAATTATCTTTGAAAGCGTGCTGTGGTTAGTTTCTACGCCTGTGGATACGTGCTGGCTTTTGATGAAGGATGAGCGGAAGAGGATGAAGGCGTTAGGGGGACGAGGGATATGATCATCTGGCCGCTTTTTGCTATGCGTAGGTCGACGAGACGAGCATTCGCCAGTAGGAGTGGGAAAGAGTACAGGTTCGAAGGTAGTGTCGACGGTGGTAGGTGGGTCATTGAAAGTTATGGGTGTTACGTTGGGTGCAAAGGCAATGCTCTGAGGAGACGCAGGCTCAAGGGGAAGGGTCCAAGTTAATTGGGCGCTTGCTAATTTAGAGTAAGCTAACATCAGCATCTACAAATATGTTTATGCGTTGAAGGGTATACATACCATCTGAAGACTCGCGCTTCAGTGAGCCACGGGATCTCTCAGCAGGCATTGTTTAAGGGCTCGGAGGGAGGTATCGCTGAAGGAAAAAAGATATTGTGGGAGTAAAGAGCGGGTGTACCGATAAAGAGGGCACGAGGCTGATACCTCGGATGGGAACTTTATATGTGAAAGATATACGTACACGGCAATTTTAGGGTAAAGCCCACGGGCGTTTCATGAAAGTCGGGATAACAGAGGCCATAGAAGGTTGAGTCTCCTTCTAACCAAGCGCGGGCACGGGAATCAATGTTTTAGGTAGCTGTAACCCGAACCAAGAGATCGTTTCATCAAAGGATCCCATCTTTGGACTGTCGGACATCCAATCATACTCTCACATTTTTTATTCACTTTGCCTGTCAGCCTAACGCTTCCTCTTCTCTATGCCCAACAGGAATAATTCGTTTTTTTCGAGGTGTGTCTTGACGCCGCCGACTTATTTTACTTAGTGGGTCCATATGCTGTCCTGGCTGAATCATCGCGTTTGATAATCGCAGAATGATCAGCGCAATCAGCCACATAGCGCTCGTTGTCACTGATCATCATATGTCGGTCCGATCTCATATCCACGTCCTTTTTCGTGCGAAGCAGCCTACTGTATCCGAAACTTTCATCCTCCTACAATTGCAAGGGCCAGGGGGCCCGGGACCAAAAAAAACCACACAATATCATTGTTTTGATCAAGTTCTGTCCGTGGACTCGCATTCTCAAGTTCGACATCGTTTACACACTAGCCTGAGTACGAACCTTTCCAATGACTTGAACCTAAATCACCTCGGTAACTTGCTTTCACTCACTGGTCCATGTGATTTATTGGCGGCATGGAACCCGTCGCCAAAACTTATTATATTGTTTCCACAGCTCTCTTATCTTTGTGTTGCAACCAACTTGAACAAGGATCCAAGGTTGATCTGATGAGTCCATCTCAACCATGTGTTGCATCGATGATCTTTGTACTGAGCCTACCGTCCGTCTAATCGCAAGTTTACCTAAAATTGACAACGAGCGCTAGTACTTACAAAGTTCTTACACTTTACAAAGACTGATAAGACAAAGTGGCGCGATGACTGGCACCCACACCCGCACACGTCGGTGTTTCCTGGACCTACATACTATCATCAGTTTGTGTCTGGTCAGTACGAATACAGTATAATACAAGGCGTGGCGGGCGCATCACGGTGAACTCACTTAAGATTTGAAACAGAGAAGCCTGCTAAGAAAAAGCTGTGTGGATTGAATTCTTGCACCGCGTGGCTTAGCCGTCCTCTAGAGATAGGTAGAAGCTGATCTGAAGACCCATCACTCCATCACATTACGATGAAAGTGGCAGTGGTCGAGATTTTCGCACTGCTTTCACGTAACTTCTGAGCTCGGATATGAAAGGGGGCGCTCCATACTACATCGCAGCTCAGATGAATATTATCATTACAATTGAATACGAATGCCTGGACTCTGCCATAGACCTCCGCTAAGACATCTCCTGGTAATAGGAGCTATTAATTATACGTGGAAGCGGACGATAGTAACTTCCCAAGAGTGAGGGAGGAGTAATATAACCATCATTCAATAATTTCTCGCTGTCGCTCTGTGAAGACTCATCTTCAGTTTGCAATTCATCGGCTGTGCTTGAACTTGCAGCGGATTCCTGGGACGATCCAGAGTCAGAAAGTTGATGAGGAGATTCTTGTTCATCAAGATGCGAAGTTGAAGCAACAGGCTCTGCTCCAGAGTGGATATCAGTCTGGGTAGGCTTATCATGACCTGCCATCTTAGCACTGATAATGTGTAAACCAGCATCTTTGCGGCGTTGTCGTGGCGGCTGAGCAACGATGTCATCATCACTGTCCTCGCCTTCATATTGATGACTTCTTTGGGGGCTGGGCGACGACACGACCTCCGCCTTTCTTTTCCCAGAAACCCGCTTCGCCCTGATCTTGTTGAACAATTCATCCAGAGGTGTATCGTCATCCGAATCTGAGTTCGGCTCCGAAGCTTGAGAGACACCCGCACTCGTGAGAGAAGGCCGCTCTGGACCTGATCCGTCTACTATGTCACCGGCTGTATTGACTTCAGAGTCATTATACACCTCTTCACCCTGAAAATCATCATCAAATCCGTGGTCCCCGCTGCTATTGTCGGATTTGGAACCACTACCCTCCTGGGAATCTTCGCCTTCATCTTCCCCCTCACTATCGTCGACTACAAAATCATCTCGCACATATTTATCACCTGGCTCCACAGACCCATGGTCGTCCCATGATCCCAGAAGTTCCCCTACGGGATTTTCCACATTCGCTGGTTTTCTTCTGCGATGTGGCCGTCTGTGGGTCGCGAGATGCGCTTTGTACCTCCGGACTAGGTCTTCGAACCTGTGATACTGAGAATAGGAGCGATTATCGAGTGTCAAGCGCCACTGGGGAAACCGCGACTCACCCACTTAAATTCGCTATGCTCTGGTTTCAGGCAAAATTTAATGAAATCAGGCCGCTTGTAGACCAAGCTGAGTGGGTAATCCAGGTACAACTTCCCAAACCAGATGTTAACTGAGCCTGGTGATTTGTTTCGGTATACATTGTCCAGGTAACGACGATGAGCTTTCACCAGGCTCTGGTACTGCGGCAACGATATATATAAGCGTAAGCCTGACAGGCAAGAGAATGGGACTTACCCAGGTATTATTACAAAATGAAGGGCGAATGACCGACCAAATGTAATCTTCTGGCACTTCATCAAGTCTTTTGTTTTTATGTTTCCCGAAGGACAAAGTGTAGGCTTCAGGAGTTTGAAGAAGTCGTTCTTCATATCGATCATTGGCCTCTTTGAAATCCGCATACTGCAATTATTCTCAGTGACAGCCATATCACTATACTGAGTTCTCACCCAGTGGAAACGTTGACAGTCGGCTCCTGTTGCCCACAACCTGTAGTCGGTGGGAATGGAATCGAGTCGTTTACCAGCGTGAACACCAAGCCTAATTACATATGCTCCTGGATCATCGTCACGTTCTTCGTCGTCTTCTGAACCTGCATTGAACCTATGCGCCATGGTGGTAGTTTGAATGAAGATGCGACATATTCGCGATGACCAGCACGTGATAAAGTACTCGTGAGTCCTGCAACCTTGCCAAGTCCCAGTCCAAACTGCCCGGATAAAACTTGGAACTAGAGTGTCCATCTTTCTAGAACCACAGGGTGATTGTCATGAGAGTTGTGGTGCGCTACACTGTGGAGCAGACACGGCTCGCAATGAGCAATCGAAGACAAACCGACATTACCTTCGAGTCCAAAGTGATCGTGCGCGCGCTGATACACTACAGCTCGAATTACGCTCTTAGATTCAGTAAAGTTTGAACCTTGATCACCCCTTAAAGCCTGAAGAGTTTGAAGGCACCAAAGCCTCGGGAAGGGATCTCCATTCGAAAACGGTAAACATGCATTCTCATAGACAGGTGATAGGTGCTATTCCTGGATACAGGACGCTGAAACGTACTACGCAGTCCTCTTTCTGTGGCAGTCGAATGTGGTACGCAGACCCAAAAGCTCGCAGAAGACTTTTATGGGTCGACTAAGGGCAAGAACACGAATAGAGTTTGGTGTGGACCATTGACAGGAGGGAACAAGATTATTGTGCAGTCCTTCGGTGCCGACTGCACTTGCGTGATCTGAATCATCTGATTCTGACTGGTCGACAGACGCTGGCGTCATAAAAATTCTCGGTGTAAAATAAGCTACATTACCGTATTGGCTAACGGTCCCGCTGCGCTTGCGCTATAGTGCCGTGAGTGGACCCGAGACTTCCAGAGGTCGAGAATTGGGTTGGGTTGCAACATGATAGCGGTACTAGAAAAAACCATCAGATAAGTCTGATAGTTTATGTAATTTACATGATTTAGTCAAGTCAGTCCAGGGTCGGCACCGAATCGCCATCTGAATCATCCCGACGCCTTCCTTATATGGTATAGTTCCTTGGCTAAGATCCCGCCCCTATCCATATTTGGAAACCCCGCCCAGCGTCAATCAAATGATTTAGCATGTAACCTTGTTTTCTGTCCATATATGATGGTGTTCGCTGTCCACTCCCGCCCATACCTTCCTTATCCATCGCCCTCCTACTCACGATGACAACCATAAGCGCTCAAGTAACTTCCCGACGACACTCCCTAGTACGTTATAAAAGACAGTACAACATGGTGGTCGAGTCACTGTGTTCCCCGCCCCTCTCCCTTTCTAACTTCCTCAATCTCCCTGGATAAACTCTACACCGATGCACTACCGCGTGGGTTCCTCAGGCTCTTCAAACAGCCACAAGTCTTGGGGGTCAGCATCCCCGGCATCCCCCCCGCCAATTCCAACCACGCCCTACCTACATCCAGTATCGCTCCCGGTACCAATTACAAATGCACCCCACCTCCATACAGTGTCCCTCCCGCACCCTAATGCACACCCACACCAACCCCCTATGTCATGTATGTGTTTCTTTTCATTCACATGGTGCCCAGATCTCAGATTTGTTGCTTTTTAGATCAACACTCTTCTACGACCCACTCTTCCATGATAGTCTTGCACCCCCTCTTGAGTCGTGGTCCAAATATGATGTTTAACATCACGCTAGACCTAGCACGTGTGCAACTGCGACCAGACTGTCCACCTACCAGGATTTGGGAGTTTGCAGTACAACCAACAGTCTCTCGTATGACCATTACTATTCCTGAGTTTCCCACTTGGATAATAGAGGTCGTGAACCCTCACGGGATCACCGTGAATGACGTCCTGCTCAACATTCGGGAAACCCTCAACCGAAGTGTTACATCACACGAGATGCAAATGCACGGACCCTCCCATGCAGCTAGTGTCGCTATCGATTCTTTTAGGGCTAGGTCCCGTGCAGACCCGCGCGAACATGCGCTGGGCGTAAAACGTTTTGACTTTTTGGGTCCGAAAATCTTCTTCGTTGGCCTCACTAGAGCTCGAGATGGCTCGGATAGCTGGAATATCCACTTCTCCCAGAATGTTTGATTCTCGCACTGCGAACTTGTCCCATTGGCTTGTCACACGCCATCTTTCAACGCATCGAACCTCAGTGTATCGGACTCGTCTCCAACGGACTACAATTGGACTTCATCACTTTTCGTTCACTTTGTATCATCGTTGCCACCGTGACTCAAACCTCCCCCACTGACGTGCTCATCATGGACTTCAATTTGTATCATCATCACAACTCACTAACCCCCTACTCACATTTTTATCTCTATCTTGCTATATTTCACACTGCAGTGTTTTTCATCTGCGGAACGGACTAGTCACGTATACCAGGATACCTTTACAACTTACACAATCCCTGACAATGCAATGTATTTTTATCATGTATGTAGTTAGTTTTTCAATCCGTACTTTTCGAAGCGCCCTCGTCATTCTTGAGTTGTTAGACCCAAATGCTTATCAGTCACAATCATGGCTGCACTAGAAAACGGTCCCATCAAGTGGTGAGCCTGAGCATGTTGCAAGGTTCAGAAGTGAGGCATAATAGCGGTCGCCAGCAGACATATTAACTGATGGCTTCCAGTGCCTGGTCAATAGCTCAAATCACAACAAATGCCTGCGGACTACGGGTACATGTCCGAGGGGCGGCTGTTGATGGGCCTCTAGCCCCCAAATTCAAATAGGCGCTCGAGCTATAACAGGCCTTAAAGTCAGTGGTGTTACAGCGAGGGGTAAATAAAAACCGATGGGCCATAGGAGCTACTCAGTGAGACAGCCGCTGCGTTGTTCCCAGCAACATTACTAAAATTTAACCGGACCTCGTGAATTCCATCTGAATCGATTTCAGAACGACATTACATCTCTAATCACCTCGCACCTCCATTCTGTTTCCAGCGTAGTTTCGCAGTAGTAAGGCGTTAGGGTAATTAAATCAAAATGCATGTACCATGTCTAAATCTGAAACACTCGAATAGAAAGATGTCCCAGAAAACAGAACGTGATCATCATACGGCAATATACCCTCCACGAGTCGACCGTTGTGGTCGAACCGTTGAACACAGATGAGATACAACGTCTTGCAACATGTATGGCACTTCGCGCCAGAAATCTCGATGTCTATGCAGGTATTAGGCCGTGATCCAAAAAAAGAATCATGATGTACTCACGGTATAAGATCCACGCCGCGAGCACCATATGTGGAATAGTTGTAGTATGCACCTAGTATGAAGTATGTTGCAAATGCTAGTAGGAGGCTGGAAGATAAGGACTCAGTCATGCTCCCTATGCATCAACATTATACCACTCACACAAGGAAGAAGAACCCAAGTCCACTGCCTCTCTTCGCTGGTTTCGCGTCGCTCTCTCCACCGCCTTCATCCGCAGGCGTGTCTTCGTCATCCTCATCTTCTGGTGGGGCTTGTGGAGGGGTTTGTGGAGGAGGTTGATCATCCGGTAAAGCACACGCTGCGGGTGAACTCCAATCGACACGTACTACTCCATTCTCATATGAGACGAATGTGGGGTCTGCTTTGGGGTCTGCATCGTCGGCACAAAAGAGAGAGAAATTGATGAATTGTAAAGCATCAGAGGAGGAGGGGTATCGGGATCCGCTAAATGTCAAAGAGAGACCTTTCGGCGCTGTTGCATTTGTTAAGCATGCATAAACAAAACATCAGATAGAAGCTCTACATACAATCAAGCTGTGAGAGTACTGGCTCAATGTCGGATGTCGACGCGACAGGTATGACAGCAATCACCCGGTCTGTAGACTCGGATTTCTTGTTTATCTTCCTCAAACATGCCCTTGTTCCAGTCGGGCACTGCGGTTCATGTTAACATCGCCAAGGTTGGGCATGACGAATTGGACTTGCCTGTTCATCATCTGACACACCATGCATTGGTTTCAAGTTCTTGCACAAATTGAATCTGAGTTCATCGACCATAGTTGTAGGCGGCGAGTCTCGTGTCCTGGACACTGTGTGCGAGCCCTTCAGCGGCGTCAGGTCCCATTTCGACCCTCCAGTCGACACATAATGACAATCAAAGTCTTCCGCTGTTACAAGAACTGTGGAAGATAATAAAACAAGTAAGGACAACAGGTTGGAAGGTAATGACTGAGGTATGAAGTGCTGGAAGATCATGGTGATATGTGCGGAACCAGAAGAGATGATGAACTAGGGTAAACGTTGAGCAAGTCGCAAGTAGTGCTGGAATTACGTAAGACACGCGTGCGCGTCCTTAAATGTCATTTCCAGTGTTCCACCTTGGGCAGCTACATCGGCCACCATCCACTGAACTAGCAAGTTTGTAGGACATCGAAATCGAATCAAGAATGGCAGGGCTTGAACCACTTGTGCATATGATATACCATGAGAGGCAGCAGGAGGGATCAAATCTTTGTGCGCAGCATGCGCTTAATTCACTACTCCGTATGTGCCCTATCACTTATTGCTCGATGCTAGTGTTCATCGACTTTTATTCGCCACTTCCAGAGGGAAACTATGTTAGTATCCTTCTTTCGATCGCAATTCGTATACCCATCTCTGTGATCGCCATAGTTTACAGCGCCCGATCTCTCTCAATTCGCTCGGAAGTTGGACATACTGGAGGAGTCATCGCGTTATGACGACGCCAATCGAGCACGCACTAGTACCAATATGGATGATACAGGCATCTTCTTTCAGATTCTTAGCTGTATGACGCGCTAATGATTACTCAGGATTTTTCTCGGTGCAAGTGTTGGAAGAGGCACTCAATGTCTGGAATCTCAGGTTTGTCAATTGTCATTTCATATCTGGTGCATTACCTTATAATATCTATTTTAGCCTCGTTCGATGGCGCTCTGAAGCTATGAAGCCTTATCAGAATGAGCCGCAGTACGTCCGTCCATCATGAGTTATCATCACTTGTTCCTCATCACATCGTCTTTCCACAAGTAACCAAGTCGCATTTGTGCTCAACCAGAATCAACACTGGTACACGTTGCGACGATTTGGAGATCTTACTGTTCCAGGTGACGGCCACTGGTTCAACCTCGATTCCACTAAGCGTCAGCCGCGATGGATCAGCAAACTCTACCTTGGCATGTTCTTGCAACAAGCTGAGAGCGACGGATACTCTATCTTTACAGTCACACAGATTGATCCAGATGTACCCTCTCAACTTCCCCACACAGATGCAGATGAAATCGCATCAACTTTCCCAGATCCTACCTCGGCTTCATCGTCACCTCGGGATGACGCGGAGCCTGGTCTCGAGAACGAAGATGTGGAGCTGCAAGCAGCCTTGCAAGCATCACTAGCTGGGGCTGGAGAATTCGGTGGTTCATTGGCTATGCGGGGTTCCTACCCTCCCGCGCAGAGTAGTCTATTCGCCTCTGATATTCGCGGATCGGGTTCAACTAGAGGAGTTGTGCCAAGCATTCCTCCCAACCAAGATCCGTACGGAAACGCTGATGTTGACCCAATTACTGCTTCCATGGAGCGTGATCGTATACTCATGGAGCGCATGCGACATGAGCAAGAATTGGGGTTTAGACAGCAGTACGAGGAGGAGGCTGCACGTTTTGGAAGTCGCCAGCCGCCCTACAGGTCACGAGCAGAAGATGAACATGAAGATGAGCATTTCCGTCGTGCAATTGCGGATTCTCTAGCCGAACGACACACCAGAGAACTTGATGATGATGATTCTGAAGACTCGGACTATGTACCTCCCCAAGAAAGGATACCATATGGCATGGACCGAGTTTATGATGACGATGATGCCGACTTCCAGGCTGCTCTAAGAGCATCATTGGAGAATGCATCATCTCAATTCACCCCTCTTCCAGTACAACCACTTCGGACACGACAAGCACCTTTACCTCCCGTCTCAGCAGCTGTTGAGGATAACGAGATTGAGGATCAATCTGAAACGGACACTAGTACGATTGTATCCGAAGCGGAAGCACCAAGGGAGTCTGTCAATGTGGAAGAGATGCGTAGAAGAAGGCTAGCAAGATTCGGTAGTTGACCGGGGACAAGTGAGTCGTGCTAAAAATTACAATTTCCCCAACATATGATACAGTATATGAGACACTCGCATGAAATGAATAAATTACTCCTTCTCCGCACCGCCCATGCCCATGGCATGCTTAGCCTTTCCCATCAAAGACTCCTACGACATTTTGTCGGTCACGAATTAATCAGATAACTGTTCGACCTCAACTCACCTGGTCTTCGTTGGAATTGCCGCTCACGGTGTCCCCTGCCTTCTGAGTGGTGGATTTCTCGCTCTAAAATCAGACCGTCAGCGTCAATCAGAACCTTAGGGGACGTGTTAGGGGCTAACCTGCGGTTGCAGAGTAGAAGCGACCGAGTCGGACATTCCTTTGGCCTTGTCAGCAGCCTGCTCGGTCATCGACTTCTGAGACTCGGGCTAAGACAAATGTTAGGTGCGAGAATAAATAAATTCAGAGGGGGAAAATGTTCGGACCTTCATAGAAGCAGCAGCCTTGTCGGTCATAGATTGACGTCCAGTGTCAGCCATTGTGATGATGATATTGAATATGAGTGTAAAGTTGTACGAGTGTTTGTCTTGTGTGTGTAGAGAGAGGGAATTGGGAAAAATAATCGAATATCCTCGACCTTATATACCCCTTGGAAGTGACCGGAAAGCTGTGCAAGCTTGACGCCAGTATGACGCTCGTCATGTGTTGGAATGAGACTTGGCCTCATTTGGCGAGTGTCAAGAATGACGCGGACGCGGGGTTGGAATTTCAATAGTGCAGCTCCTGATCAACATATAGTATCTTGGCATTCGGCCATGTATACAGCACATAAAACCAGGCAGTGAATTGCCAAACCTCAAGCTGACTGCGGTAGGACACGCATTGCTTGCCTGTGAAGGCAGAGTAACCGATTCAGTGACTGAGGGGTACATTGAAATCCCGCACTAGCTTTAGATTGCACGTAGGGTGTTAGATTCGTGACCAGTTAATTCTAAGGCATTCTTTGCCCAGTGTCGGCCAAGAGACATCCACCTCTGGATGTGCCGGTTGGAAGGTTGTGGCCAATCGCGAAGACGTACTGCAGCTGGCAATATAAATTCGGGAATGTAGTACAGGTTCGCCCACCTTACAAAGGCTCGTACGATACAGGGATCTATGCTATGTATACAACTTGATCTCGGTGAAAAATAAATACGGGTAAATATCTAAAGGGGTCATAGCGGATGGTCAACAGTTGTGGACATAGGCGGGTCTGTAGCATCATTTTCTCCACGTTCACGGTGTCGCCGTGCGGATCGTAAATAGCGTGAAAAGCGATTTTGTTGGGTCGAGGGCGCTTGGCTGGCACGCCGGTTGGAAGGAAACACAGAAGAAGCGTCACGATCACCCGTGTGCCCTGACAACATCGCTTCAAGAGCGTAAAAGTCTGTCATCCGTTAGTAAGAGGTATCTCAAGCTGGCAAGGCAAGGTTCACCTTGTCGACACAGTGGACAAGAACCAGAAAGCTCCAAAAGCCATGGGTCAACGCACGTCTGATGGAAACGATGTTTTCCCTCGCAAGGTAATACTCTTAGCTCATCACCCTCCTCAAAGTCAACGATGCAGATGGGACATGTCTCACGTCCGATTGCCTCTGGCATTAACGGATCGACATCCCGTGCTGAAGATGATGGCGCTTCGGAATTAGCGCGTAGTTGTAGAGGCGTCAACCGAGGTATAGCTCGTGCATCGGACTGCGCGTCCTCCCGACCATGTTCGCTTGTTGTGGCAACAGTAGTAGAAATGTCTCTCTCATAAGTCCTTCTCACTGATTGTGATGGTTGCTGGACTGCCTGACCAGAGATGGTGCCCATCTCCACTGCATCACTCGACTGTTGCGGTGTTGTATCAGCATCCACTGGAGGCGATTCAGCGTCTTTGAGAGGTGGATAAGTAGGATCCGGCACAGTGCCGAATGTCACGATAGGGAACGTGTCCAAAATGGCGCGTCCAAGGCCTCTGGCTCGACTCTGGCTCCCGCCGCGTGTAACCCCAAGGTCACCATTCGCAATCCGGGGACCGTATCTCTCGGGATGACGTATAGCCCTAATTGCCTGAACAATATTTGAATTAAGAATAATGAATAGTGCAAGGCAACATACCCCTGAGATGATGACGATGCAAAATAGAGTTGAAACGCAGCCTGTGATAGCATACAGGATGATCCTGTAACGTAATCAGAATTCGCCTATAAATCAAAATACGATTCTTACATTGTAAAACCTGTCCCTTTTTTACTGTCTTGATTCGTAGTCGAGCCAGTGGACCCATTGTTATTGCCACTTGTCCCCGTAGAGTTAGTTCCTGTCGCATTCCAAGCTTGCAAGGTTGCAAGCAGATAGCCGGGAACGGTAGCATAGCCCGAGTTTATAGACTGGTTGATACTTGCTTCGGACGCATTCAACGTAGCTGCATCGAAATTCCCATAAATAGATAGATTCGTGCCTCCGCCTTGTCCGAACTCGTATTGAATATTTCTAGGGACTCGTAAACCAGACACACAAAAGCATGCGCAATCAAACTCACCTCGAAACCGATGTCGACTGGGTTGAAAATATATCGAAGACTTGGTCAAAATTAGCGGGATCAGCGTACTCTGGATTGATGATGCAGGTGTTGGAATAAACAGAATACAGAAGCTGCGATGAAGGAATTGAAATTGCAATTATCAACATACAAGCAATCGAACGTTCTTACAGCAGATTGAGCGCCTGCGTTATTTGCCATTGTAAATATGTCGACCTCTTCAGAGAAGTTTGTCGAATTAGCATCACATGATACCAGGGCTATCCAAGGGGTAGTTGCTGTCTGTATGAGCATCTCATCGAGTGGATACAGAGTGCACGCTTACTGGTCTCGTTCATCGCTAAACTCTCAGTGAAGTGTACGAGGGCCCCCTGCTAAAAGAATGAGATTGCAGTCAGCTCATATGAATGCCTATGTACCTTAGTGGTACCATTGCTACCTGCGCCCACGAGCTGATAGGATACGTACTCCCAATCCGAGCTAAGAATGCAACCCAAGAAACCAAACGGAGCAGCTCAGAATGTAAAAATAAAGCGCGCTGGCGAATCTCACCCGTTCGGGTACCACTGAAGAATCAATCTCGATGCATTCATGCCATCTACCTGGCTCGTGACGTTGGAAGGCTGCGCTGGGATATACCCGTAGGCTGAACCCATCAGGTTCGAGAACACAAAGAGGAGGGCATGAAGTAACACAGCATGGAATAGCATGACGTCTAGTAAACAGAGACTGCGGAGAACGTCGACCTCGATTTTGAGCCACGGTTTGATGATGAGCTTGTCATTCACGCTCTTACTCGGAATAAATAGCGTTTGCCTCGGCGAGGGCGCGAGGCTTCTGTGATGCTTATGTCAGCGACCACTAGCACTAATTAGGGATAGAGCTGGCGCCCCTTCCAAATACAAACGCATTGCGTTCGACGAATGGCATTACAAAATTTGGTACAAAAGGACAACTATTTAACCTTCTCGGACAACCTCCTTGACTGATTCCGCAAATATATGACAACCTTTTTGCAAATCGTCCTGTGCGATATTAAGAGGCGGTATGAACCTGATCACTTCATATAATGAAGTTGTGAGAATCAAAAGCCCCTTCTCCATGCAGCGTTTCGCCACACGACTTGCGAGATTCTTCGGTGCAGATGAAACCAGCGCGGGATCTGTTGGAGAGTACGATGGGGATGCAAACTCGACAGCAATCATCAAACCCTGGCCCCGGACGTCGACGATCATGCTTCCTACTTCTGGGTCATCACGGAGGGACTTTAACGATGCCAAAAGTTCGCTCGAGCTAGAAACTGTGAGACTACAGAAGTGTGGACCGCTTATGTAGTGATCTTACCGAGCAGAGACATTGTCGAGCACCTTCTCTTCACGGAAGGCGTTAGCGACGGCCACCGCAGCGGCACATGATACAGCGTTGCCTGCATATGTACCTCCCTTGAAATGCGTTATCAACGGGACGAGAAAACGCGGGCTAGTAGAGATGAACTAACCATGGAACCCGGCACTAGCTTATCTGTAAGCTCCTTCCTGCTGACTACACCACTCAATGGGAATCCATTTGCAAGGCCCTACGTTCAATCAATGATTCAATGAACCATAACTCATCCAACAATCTACCGTACCTTTGCGATTATCAGAATATCGGGTCGGACACCACTATATTCAACGTTGAAGTACTTGCCCGTCCTACCGAATCCACTCTGCACTTCATCTACAATAAGGAGGATGCCATGTTTGTCGCAGACGGCACGTAATCCTTTGAGGAAGGATGCAGGTGCTGGTACATAACCACCCTCTCCAAGTACAGGCTCAATGAGGATTGCAGCTGTGTCCCTGGGAGCTGTTTGTTGTTTGAGAACAAGTTCTAGTTGATATAACGAGAGTCGGACTAGCTCTTCTTCACTCGTATTGATTGATAATCCCAGTTGGTGCCAGTACGGGAACGGTACGGCGAATGCCCCAGGCTACGATGATGTTAGTGCAGTCGCAGATGTCCTGAACATTAAAGTTACCATCAATGGAAAGAATCCTTCACTATAGACCGTCTTGCTCCTTGTAACGGCCATGGCGCCAAACGTTCGACCATGATAACCGCCTGTGATGGCAGAAGTTATTCATAAGCTCCTCGTTGCGCGAGTACTCGCCATCAACTTACCCTGCATGGAGATGATGTTCTGCCGACCAGTAATTTGCCGTGACATCTTGAGGGAGGCTTCAATGGCTTCAGAACCTGAGTTCCAAAAGAAGAACGAGTCAAGAGAGGGATCAGGCATGATCGGAAGGAGTTTCTCGATGAGACGCAAGTAAGGGCCATGGAATGAGATGCTGCACTAGAAAAGCACCAAGGATGAGTTTATCTCAAACAGCATTGGGAAGTTAGAACATACTTGAGTATGAACGATGTTCATACATTGATCTGCTGCAGCTTTGGAAACCTTGGGGTGACAATGACCTGGTGTTATTACGTATCATCACGGAAGTTCCAGCGAGTGATTTACTGTGGAGCGCGTGGCTACTTACCAAGGTTTGTCACACCGATACCACAGCTGAAATCTAACATCCTACGCCCATCCTCAAAGGTCACGTACGAACCCTCACCCTTCGTCATGACAGCTTCTGTGAGGCGGCCAAGGCCTCTGGTGACGTGTCGTTGTCCAAAGGCGACGAGGGAATCAGCAGAGGTAGTCATCGCTCGCGACTGTGGTATGCAACCTGCAGAGGCGATGCGCACACAAGATTGGGCATGGTCGTTTCTGTGGTGGTCGTGGCGTGGATTAGTAACGTAATAAAGCAAGCACAGAGGCGTGAAATGTCTACCGAATCACTGGAGGTACGGTGACAGAACATTTGGTGACGCCAGATTTGCCTATGGCCCTTGTGTGTGTAAACACTCTGTTAAGAACAGGCATGTTTGCTGTCCGTAGTAAAATCGTGGTGGCCCAAATTTAAGAGACGAAGTCGAGGACGCGACCCTGGGGTACTTACATATTACAATAACATGCTTAGGGGTTATAATTATACGCTCGGAGCTATATGATCAAAGAAAAGACGGCGCTCCGATATCGTATTTGGCATAACAAATTAATCATGGCTGTATCACAAGAGCTTGCCAATAGGAACAAGGCCATCAAAGCCGTTCTCCGTCCTATCATAGATCACCCGGCCACGTAAAATCGTCTGCTGCACAACTCCATTTAGCACCATCCCTTCGTACGCAGAGAATTTGTTCTTGAAGTGGAAATGTTCCTTTGACACCTGACGATAAGTTGACGTTAAAGAACGACTCGGCAAAATCGAAAGTGTCTAGAATATACCTTGAACTCGGCTGCAGAATCCCAGATCACGAGGTCGCCATCATGCCCCACTGATAACCGCCCTTTCGATGACGAAAGCCCGGCGTGTTTCGCAGTTTCTTCGCTTGTCCAGCGAATAATCTGACCGAGACTAACGCCTCTCTTTTGACCTTCGGTCCATAGAAGGCTAAGGCCGAAGCCGAGACTGTTTATGCCTCCCCAGGCGGTCATGATATTTCCCTCCTCGAACTTCTTCAACTCTGCTACACATGGACTGTGATCAGATACCACACAGTCGATGGTACCGTCTATCAATGCCTCCCACAGTGCATCTCTGTTCGATTCGGAACGAATAGGCGGGCAACACTTAAATTCAGGTCGGCCGTGTGGTATGTCATCCGCTGAGAGGCACAAATAATGGAAACATGTTTCCACCGTCAGATTCAACCCACGAGAACGCGCAGCACGAATAATAGGAAGAGCGGAAGACGCGGATAGGTGGACGATGTGGCAACGAAGGGAGCTGTATTTCTCTTGCAAGATGGTAATCAAAGAGATGGCGTTGACCTCAAGTTCTTGAGGGCGAGAGGAGAGGAAGGTTTGATATGCTGTTGGATCATGCTCTTCGTGATTTTGTACTGAGCAGGAGTCACTCTCAAGTTCTGCATGGAACAACAGCACAGTCGATTGATCCTATCAGACACAAAAGTTAGCTAGTAGCTCACTGGATCCTCATATGCAATTTGACCTGGAGCTCTTGCATGTGTGCATGGAGATCATGCTCTGAGACGCAAGGGAATTCCTGGAAAAACGTCATGGGTCATTGAATGATAGGACCCAATATCTCACCAACCTCGACACCGCTTTCAATCAAAAAGCACTTGAATCCTTTTACTCCAGCAGCCACCAATGGTTTCAGGTCCGCCTTTATTCCAGTATGAGCTGTTCTCCTCAGTCAGTCTCAAACGCGCAGCTTGCCTGGTTCCCTGGAATGACACCACCCCAAAATCCAACGTCGGCCCAGCACTGGCCTTGTGCACTTTGTCGCTTGATCTCAAGGTTCTCTAAAGTGGTCGTGGGCGGTATAGAGTTTAACGGCATGTCCACGACCGTGGTGATTCCTCCTGCTACAGCTGCTCGCGTGCCGGTCCAAAAGCCTTCCCAGTCCGTTCGACCAGGCTCGTTTAGATGAACGTGGGCACTAAAAATGCATTCAAATGACAGGCTCTCATGTGGATGGGGGACAAGACACTCACTCGACTAGTCCTGGAAGAACAAACTTTTCTCCTGCATCAATGAATGTTATCTCTCCACCCGGACTGTGTTCTGTGTACACTGTTTGGATGCCTGTGATCTTACCAGTGTCGATGTTTACCGTGATCGTTGCTGGCTGCAGCTCATCTGAACCGGGCAGCAGGACATTTCGGCTAGTCACAACTAGGGACTGGTTGCTCATGGTCTTATCGAAAGGTTCAACTGATAGCGACATGTGACCGACTGAAGATATGAATGTGCTTTGAAATATGTCAAATAAATGGTGAATGGACACTCACATCGTATGTACTGCAATGTGCATAGTAGTCAATGTTACTTCGTACTACTAGATGCCCAGCCCAGCTGGTTGGCAAATGTTCGATATGCTGGGCTCTAGTCTAATCAGTTATCGTCTTTCTTCTATTGGTCTGCTCGACCGGAAGTTCACCGTCATATATAGCCTGCACTCAGATAGTGTAATTCCAAGGACTTTCGACAATCACCAAACTAACACAAGTTGTCGCAAATTCGAGACTGCAAAGTTCTGCCCAGTCTACAACACATTGCACACAAGTAGGAGTTGTGGCGCAAGTACCTATAGCAGCTCTCCGGAAGGTTGAAGACCTGTACAACCATCTTGAAGTGCCGAATCGTAAGCCAATCTACCACGGACAAATGTTTTGTGCACGAGGCCTCTCAAAGTCATGCCTTCATATGGGGTGAGCTTGTTCTTGAAATACAAATGTTCTTTTGAGACCTATCACTCGATCAGCTATCGCCACGGGAACAGCAGCAGGACTAGAATTCACCTTGAATTCCGATTCCGGATCCAATATCACTAAATCGCCATCATGTCCCACTTTCAACTGGCCCTTTGTATCTGACAGTCCCGCTAACTCAGCAGTTTTGATGCTCATCCAACGGACGATCTGCCCAAGTGAGATGCCTCGCTTCCTTCCTTCCGTCCATAGAAGGCTTAGTCCAAGGCCTAGAGAACTGACACCACCCCAGGCTTCCATGAAATTGCCATGTTCAAGCCCCTTCATCTCAACGAGACAAGGACTGTGATCGGAGATTACACAATCAATGGTACCATCCACAAGAGCGTCCCAAAGGAGATTTCTGTTAGAGTCCTCGCGAATCGGAGGGGTACATTTGTACTCGGTTGCACCATCCGGGATGTCCTCTGCTGATAAACATAGATAGTGAAAACAAGTTTCAACGGAAAGCTTTGATCCGCGGTCCTTGGCAGCACGGATGATGGGTAAGGCGGCTGCGGCCGATAGATGGGCTACGTGACAGGAAACTGAGGGGTACGTTGCTTGAAGGCGAGCAATGAGAGTGATAGCATCTACCTCAAGCTCCTTAGGGCGCGAGGAGAGAAATTCCTGGTATGACCTTGGATTAAGCTGGCGTCGGGCTGGTGAAGAAGCGGTCTGCATTTCCGCGTGGAAAATCATGACAGAGTTCTTTGAAAAATGCTGTCAATTAGAGGATAGTCACTGTTTTTGTGCTCGACAACGCCCTACCTGGAGATGGGACATGTGCTTATGAAGGTCGCTCTCAGAAACGCAAGGGAATTCCTGTGTGAAGTGAGCATAAACATATTTATGCACAAAATCTTGGCTTTAAATTACCTCAATGCCCGTATCAATTAAAAAGCACTTGAAGCCTTTGACGCCAGCGGATAAGAGGGGCCCTAATTCGGTCTGTAGACGATGAACATCTGGCGCGCTGAGATCTGCTGGTGCACTTACTTCATTCTGAGGAATTGCTCCTCCCCAAAATCCAACATCTACCCAACACTGTCCACGAGCAGAACGACGTTTGATATGAAGATTCCTAGATGTGGTGGTGGGCGGACTTGAATCGACAGGCATATCAATTAGAGTGGTGACGCCTCCAGCAGCTGCGGCTTGTGTGCCGGTCCAAAAGCCTTCCCAGTCTTGGTTTCCGGGTTCCTCTAGATGAACATGAGCGCTGTCATTATGACAATCAGCAATCGTGCTTTGCAACGAGCAACGACACCCACTCGACCAGCCCAGGAAGAACAACTTTATCTCCAGCATCAACGAAGTGAAGATCCCCGTTTTTCCTGCACGCCCCATTGCCAATGTACTGCAGGCGGACCTCTATTATTTTGCCAGTCCTGATGTCAACATTGATCGTCGCAGGTCGTGGCAGATCAGAATCAGGAAGCAATACGTTACGACTGGTCACAGTGAGAAGCATGATAACCTGCCTAGCTGATGGGCTACAGATGCTGTCGTGTTTTTAGACGATTACATTAATAGACCGTTTCAGCTTGGGAAGTAACTGCGCGATGAAGTATGGGTTCATGACGGGAATTGAGGATGCTCGCGACTAAAGCATTGCGAGTGTCTTGAATTTATGGGGGTTGTAAGGCCTCGTCACATTGAATTTTGAAAGACGCACATGGCAGTACTAGTAGTTCTGATTGACTTTCGAACTTGTTTTGTCGCGAGAGTCACGTGACAACGCATATCAGAGAAGGCCGAAGACAATCTGGAACCGGATTTTGACCGGATTATTGGTTTACAAGCCTTGTACGTTCACTAAGTTTGATACCCATGTACCATCTGCTAGCATAATCTGTTCAAATGTCAGACGGAAGTACCGGACACGATGTTTCTGTTGCGGCAGCCTCAAAACCGGATCCACCTTCACCTCTCGATACCTTACTTTCCCCCAAGGGCCCAACACACGAGGAGCTTTCCCCAAGAGGATCTATCGCGGAGTCCGACTATAACGATGTAATCCTTGATGACGATCCAAGCTTCTCGACTGTTCCTCTCTCAGGAGATACAAGCCTTGTCACCGAGGCAACCACGGACGATACGCTTCCGACTCAGAAGCTAAATCGCAGGACGACTATTTCATCGACGTCCTCAAAAACCTTCTCTTCCTTACGTCATTTCTCACATAGAAAGTCTGCTTCGACAATAACAATACCATCTGCCCCCGGAAATAATATTCTTGCGCGTATCGGATCACAGGGTACCCGCGATGAAGGCAGTATAGAAGCATTGCGGAGTACTGGAGAAGGGCAGCAGAAACTCCACGAAGAGTTCTTGCGCCTTCATAACGAGCGACGTGCTGAGGCAACAGAATCTGAACAGGGAGGCATAGACTGGGGTAAGAGTGACTATGCACAAATTTTCAATTCTGACACCGGCACAAGCTTTCTGGGGAGCCGTCGTCTCAGGTGATGTGCCAAATTTTTAAGCGATCTTGTATTCGTTATTTATCCCGTCGCAGATTATCAGGGTTTCGCAGCCTCGAATCCTCAAAAGCTAGCCAAAGCGATCGAGAAAGGGATTCCAGATGCACTTCGTGGAATGATGTGGCAATTAATGTACGGTGCTTCATGATACTCAGCTCCACCACTGATAAGGCGCTTGAGGCAGGGCAGCGTCAAAGGACGCTGAGCTAGAGAATACATACCTTTCGCTCCTCAAGGAGTCCAGTCCTCATGAAAAAGCAATCACGCGAGATCTCGGAAGGCTCGATTTTTTTTGGATCTCCATCTTCTTGTCTTGACCTCCACTCTACAGAACCTTTCCTCACCACAATTTCTTTACCGATGGACAGGGCATCGGCCAAGAACATCTTTTCAACGTTCTGAAAGCATACTCATTGTACGACCCTCAGGTTGGCTATTGTCAAGGTCTTCCTTTCGTTGTAGCAGTACTTCTTCTCAATGTGAGGTTCTTGTTGCTCCAGTTCAATTTGATTTTACTTTTGACGACCTAGATGCCAGACGAAGAGGCTTTCTCACTCCTCGTGAGGTTGATGCACTCTTATGATCTCCGGGGTCATTTCCTCCCAGAGATGCCTAAACTGCAACTCCGGCTTGTATGTAGATATCCAATACAGCACCTGTTTTCACTCACATTCATTCTCTGATGTTAGTACCAGGTATGCTGCTCAGTTGATCTGCAGTCACTTGTCTCAAGCAACAACAGTTCGATCGACTGATAGAAGAACTACTACCTGTGCTCCACGTTCATTTCCTTAGACAAGGCATTAAATCTAGCATGTTCTGCTCGCAGTGGTTTCTAACGCTCTTCAGCTATCGGTAAGCTTGCAACTTTCATGACGTACGGCTTAACTCAGTATTGGGACTTCAGGTTTCCACTAGAAATTGTAGTCCGGATATACGACAATTGTTTGGCCAGTGGTATAGAAGCCATCTTTGCATTCAGCATCGTGCTGCTCCAGAAGAATGAAGACGAGCTACTTACCCTCAAATTTGATGACATCCTCGCGTTTCTGAAGAACAACATTTTTGATCGGTACAAGGTGGGTCGAGTCGTTTTATCATTCCACTCTACTTCACAGTGAAATTGATAGATCGAGTCTTTGGAGTCATCTGAAGACCATATCACGGGTCCCGATAAGAGCGTTAAGTATGATGTAGACGCGTTCGTGCTGGACGCTATCTCTGTGAAAATCACGCCATTCATGTTGGACACTTACTCACACGAGTATGAGAACCTTGTTCGGACCCGAGATGCACATGCCATCGAGATAGATAGGTTGCGAAATAACAATCGCACCCTGTCTGCGCAATTGTGAGTACTCGTTGACAAGTACAACTGACCATCTTTGAATGTGTGGACTGCAATCACAGGAAAGAACTTGATGCGAATATGGCGCAATTAAATGCAGACCATGTTGAAATCCTTGTAAGCCGTAAACCAAACTTTATCAGTTCATACATTGACCACGCGGTCGTTCAGAACCAGCTTGTAATGTCTCGGCTACGAAACGAAGAGCTTGAAGAAGAACTGGTTAAATACAAACTTCTGTATAGTACTTTCCTATTCCGTTGTGCTATGATTCTGAAATCCGCGACAGTTACGCCGAGGCCATGCACGAGAATCAAGACTCCTTGTCATCTCATCGATTGTCGTCTCCTCTGGCTAGAAGGGGAAGTCGCCCCTTATGATTCAGAAATTGGAATTCACAGGACATGCACACGAATTAAATTCCTCGGTACAAGTGTTGAAACAAAAATTCTGATACCACTACAGGGCAGACTCTGACAGGGTAGTAGTACAATTATGACGGCCGAAAAACATACTTCGATTTTTTTTTAAAGTCCTTGCGCAAGTTGAACCTGCAGACGAACATTAATCTAGGATCGACTCTTCACTCATGTGAAAACTGACCTCTTCTTTGCTGATGAAACCCGACTCTCCGGGAGCCGTTGCCTTGCCTGTGGCAGCGGCATAAGCCACTTCTGCTGAACGCACCGGAGAGGAGTGCTTCGTAATCCAGTACTTGATCTCATCCGGAACGACCTCGATCACGGCGACGCGTGGGTCAGTCTTGTCGCCCTTGTGGACACCATCTTTCAGGTCGCCGAAGTAGGCGGTGAGGCTGTACTCGGTTAAAATATGCCAATGCATAATACAATTAAACGCACATTGGGGACCAAAGCTTATTGATCAGATCCTGATCCTCGGTCACTCTGGCTCTACCGGAGTAGGATGCCCAGTCTGTGGAGGATGAATCACAGAAGCTAACATTGACATGCGCATCGTTTTCGATGTCATCGAACTTGTGAGTCACGTTGTTCGCGAGGAACACGAGGTTCAGCTGCGTGTCGCTGAATGCTAACAGGGGTATCATAATGAAGAATGGTATGCGGCGAGGATTGGATTCGTACGTTTAGCAGGGGTCATTGCTCGGGAATGCAGGTTTCCGTTTACGTCACGGGTGACGAGCATTCCAATCTTTGCTGTCTTTATGACAGTGTGCAAATCTAACGAGTCGTCAGTGGGATGAACCAGGTATTCGTGAAACGGGATGCGTACCTGCGATCTTCTGCTGAAGAGTGACATTCTTGCTCTCTGCAATGGTGGAGTAAGGGTCGAGACGGGCTTGTTCTTGGTTCGAATCAGACATGTTTGAGGTGAAGCGAAGGGGGACGGAAAGGATTGGGGTTTATGTAGGCAACAGTTGAGTCGGATGACGTCAGACTTCTGAACCACAGGGGTTAAACTAGACCCGAACTTTGCCCGAACTATCTGTAAGTTATTCGTCTTCGGATCCTACATACGTCACTTACGAGCATTGAAGACCCCGTGGAGCCGTCTTACTTTCTAACACTGCGCCCGTTGCTCACTCCTCCTATGTACAGTTCAATTTGAATGCCTCGTCCTAACTTACCCAAGCGTCCACATCACTCGGGCAATGTATCATTCATGCTACGCTACTCGACGGCTCCATGCAAGCTTGCTGAAGAGATATGCCAAATGGTCCGACAGCAACTTGGTCTTTATTACACCTCATTTTCTACTTCTGACACGAGGAACTTCTAACACTTGGTGTCTTTTTTCTTAGATGCACCTTTTTCCCCATCTGCCTGACATTGCACCCTACTTCAATGATTATCTCGGATCCCAGGTCTCGCTCTAGCTGATGTTTCGTCGGTACGTAACATCGTGACCTCACTGAATATTCGATTTATCGATTGACGTTGCACTTGTGAGTTGGGATACGCAATTGATCAATTAAAAGTATTTGCTCAGGGCACTGCTAATACAGAAAGATCAGCAAGTCATGGTGGACACCGACATGTGTCCATCCGTCCCTCCCTCGGACGATACAGGATGATGTCGATAAAATTTTGATCGTGCGTTGTCCGGCTGTCGTGATTCTCGTGAACTGTACACGCAGTTTAAACGTGCTCGTATCTTCGAGGAAGTGATTCATTTCCAGAGAACCGACAATCTTCGAACATGTAATGGAAGACACAGTACCTTCCATATCGGGTGTAAAAAAGGCCTGCTGTGGACTGTAGTAATCCTGCGCTTTAGCTAACAGCATCAGTATTCATATGCAGAAGCAATCAAAGATCACCGGCACAATGCGATTGGATTTTCTGATGGACTTGAACTCTGGTAATTAATGTTGTAGCAAATGCAGTTCCCGTTAGATTGTATAAGTACGGGTAATTCAAAACACACATCACAAGACACATACAGCTCTACAGACCCATCAATAACAATACAGAACGTTCTTGTGTGTAGCAAATTGCAAGTCCAAAAAGCATCATGATTGAACAACAAAATTCGTGCTAGTACTTCGACCAAGCGGGGGTCTGGGGTTCCGCCTGCAACGCTGGAAAGTCGGTCGCCTCCCACGTTCCCGGTATGAGGGCGATTGGAAGGAGCCAAGTGGCAGTGAGAACCACTCCGTACCCTAGATTTGATGGAACGTTGTGACAATGATCAGTTAGAATTCAGTGACGTCGATTAATAGCACGTACCTTTATCAAAAACTTTAACTGCTGACCAGCTCCAAGCAATGAAACCTCCGATGTAGCCGAGGTATGGTACAAGTCGGCGGAGAATACTCATCGAGGTGCGCAGCTGCGGCGGCATGAGCGAGATGGGTAAATGATCCAGTAGCCATTTCAGCGCGGTTGTGATCATGGCAGCGCGTTTCGCAGCTTCAAGTTGTTTATCGTTGAGAGCATCGAGCACAGGAGGCGGAAGGTAACTGAGATCACCCACATTAGCTTTGAAGGTATACGAGTATATCAGCAAAAAATGCCTACATTCGGAATCCCCACCACATCGCTTGAACAGATATTTTTGTAGGAGATGGGAGCCAGACACGATATTCAACTGGTTCGCTTACGGCAACAGTAGTCATGTCCTTTGGTTCGACACTGCTGCTGGATGGAACCTGCTCATGGCCCGCCCTTTGTTTCCCTGTGCCCGAACTCTCGCTCTGGGCGAGAACTTGTTCGATTGACTCTGATGGAAGGGGAACGAAAGTCAGCTGGGGTGTGCGGATCTCTTCTCCATCTCCATTGAGTGAGACAATTTCTGAGCGCGCGATCTCTATCTCCGAGTCCTCGGTGGGTTCTAAAGGCCCGTACATCATGACCGATCCATTGTCATCTTCATACTCCGCGCCAGTGCGCGGTTCCACTGCGTTCGACTCAGCGGAGCCATCCCTCTTTGTTATAGGGGATCGCAATCGGTCTAACACAGACCAGACCGACTCTCTCCCACGATCGATTGACCCATTCATGACGGAGAATGAAGTGAGGAATGTCGTCAACTTTGAGTCAGAAAATCCTGGGGAAGAGATGGGAGGGCTGTCATTGGGATCTATGACTGGGGTTCCAGAGGGTGTAGTATAGAACTGGGGGAAAGAAGTGGGTAGGCCAGATGGCACGGAGGGCAGCGATGCGATCATAGCTTGAATTCTTCGAGCGAGAGTGTCAGGCTCTGGTGGTTCGCTTTCAACTCCGACTTCTCCACCGCCATCAAATTGAATCGCATCAACAGTCGCACTGCTGCCTGCCTCCTGAATCTCATCATCAATAATGGGGGAAGCATGAAGGGATGCAGCAGTGGGAGTGATCGGTTGTTGAGCTTGATTGCCTTCCTCCACGAGCCAGGAGGATGGAGGAAAACCTGGCCTCTTCGCCTTGCGTGCATATTTCAATAACTTGTCTATGGTGTTTGACTTTGCTTGTAAAATTTGTGATGCGGAGGATGGTAAACTTGAAGCTCGAGGCTCGGCGCCTACATGAACGGTTGAGGGTGATTGCTCTGTTGTAGCGCTGGCCTTGCTTAAACTCCTGACAAAGCGAGGAACGATGCCAGGGGGCGGCTCTGATTTTGGAGACGACACATGTTCTTGCTCCATGGAGGCCAGATGGAAGCAGCTTTGGCCTGTGACCAGTGCGTGTCGCGTGCAGCATGAGTTATGTGCGGCTGTGCCCGATAGTCTCGTTTTGGTAATCGGGTTCTTGGCGGCCTGTCAGTTTCCTCGAGGTTTAAGTTGGTTGGGTTCGAGGATGGGCAGGGCTGCCGCAAACCTATCGATGTCCTTTTTGTACGAAGATGGTTGACGATAAGTACTATAAGGTAACCAGGTGCACAAAAGTCAGTTCAGTTTGTGAATTTTTGCAAGGTAACGTACGCGCTGACGTTACGGCCGAGTAAATTGCCCTTTGACCTAGAGATCTGAGACCCTTGGATTTAATATTGATGAGGCCTCTTAACACCAATCGCAGCATGTTGAGTTGATCAATATTATGATTCTTCCGATCTATGGATGGATGATTGAAAGTTTTGGTCCGATGGAGCTGATCATGATGAGGATTTGATAAGATTAGCGGTGAAACCCAAATAGTAGGTAGTCCTATGTCGCATAGGCATGGCAGTACTTTGAGAGGTCGTGGTGTGATTATCTTTTTGTGGGAATTAGCCGCCGCGTGTTTCTTGAGATGTAACTGAAATGGGAAAGATGTGCGAGGCGTGGAGTGCAGCCGGCGCGGTGAGCCAAGTAATAGCCCTGCATTCACTTTTACTTTCACTCTGACGTTAAATTGGCTTTGTAGCCTTTTGACTCTTGACACCATCCTTTCATCGCGTGTACTCAGCCCTCTTCAACATTTAAATCTAGTCTACCATCAGCTCTCACCGCTCCTGGTAATACCCATCAGTATGACAATGCCAGCTATAGTAGATTCTTCATGTCCTCACATTCAATCATTGTCCACTCGCCCTCAAACTTATCCTCGCCATCGCGAGGTCCTCGCTATAACAATGAACAATCTAGCAAATCCCATACATCTCGACTACTCAATCCATCCCTCTCGTTTCCCAATCTCCTCAATCCGTCCAGATGGCCCACAAAATACTCCATCCATACCACCTCGCACTCCTCCAAAGCCTGTATTTCCTCGGTATGACCCTCTCCATGTCCTCTCCAGAGATTCCACCCCACCTCCACCCACAAAGCAGTCATCTCTACATCCCCTACATGTGGCACCCGGCGTCCTCGCAAACGGCATCATTACTGTCATGCTGCCCGCCGTCCGCGAATTCCTCACCGCTACCACCATTGCACCTCCTGCCGCACCTGAGCTTCCAAGCGACAGTAGAGTATTAGCGCTTGCTGCTCTAGCCGTCTTCTATCGTCCGATGCACCCTGCACATTGGGTCTTCTGGAATAAGGAACAGAAGAAGAACACCGCAGCCATTGTACAGAGCGTACTAGGTGAGTCCACTTGACATGTTACCTTTCATCCGGTCCCGCTTTGATACCCATCGATTCTACTTTTCATTGCACTCAGTGTGACCCATACTAACATCTGCTTCAGATACCACCCCCACTCCCATTATCTCGCCCATCGGATGGATAGCCATCCAGGACAATCTATGGATTCTTGGTTCACTTCAACACGCCTATGCTAGTGCCCTATCTTCACAACCCTGGTACGCCGCATACGTCCCATCTGAAAGCGAAACCCGCATGAGTCTGCGCAAGCGCAAGCCCACCATGATCCAAGAACAAGTCATCGAAGATGATGACGATGATCTCCTCATCCCTCCTCCACCCAGGAAGCGTGCAAGGACGCGCAGAACTGTCACAACTACCAGGACTCCGAGGAAACTAGAAGAATTCTCCCATCCTGATAATCCGGAGACAGAGGACGTGCCTGATGAGGTCGAAACAGCCACTGAACTACCGGAACCGGAAATGGTACTTATGTTGACGCGCGCGGCCAAGCGCGAGCTCGTCGAGATGCCTGTGTCGGCACAGGATGCTGAGAAATCTGTCTCACCAGAGCCGCGTAGAAGTCAGCGGAAGAAAGGTGATTCACCGGCGTCTTCGGCGACTACTCTCACGCGCATTCACTCGCGGGAGTTGTCGGCAGAATCCGTGGAAGGCGCTCAAAGCGCTGGAAGTAGCACTGTTTGCGAGGAGGAGCCAGACAAGGAAAAAACAAAGAAGGGCCGTACAGAAAAGGCCGTGAAGCGTCTTGACAATACCGGCGAGGAGGAGGGAGACGAGGAAGAAGCTGAGGAGGAGAAACCTGCTCCCGCCAAGAGATCTCGCACTTCAGCTTCTCGTACAAAGCCGAGGTCCAGGGCCCCACCAAAGAGGACCAACTCGACCAATACCAATTCTGAGGAAGGCGGCGAGCACGTAGATGCTACTCCCCCACCTCCTGCGCCTAAACCAAAGTCACGTTCGCGCCCGAGGACGCGCAGGCGTTAGATTGGCGCAGATTCTTTTTTTCAACACATCAATGAACTTGTAACGCACTGGAGGACCGAATCATCATATCACGAATTGCATCGAGTTCCGGAGCACACCGCACAATCACATCATATCACATCACATTATATCGCACAAGTATCGCGCCTCGTCACAGGTCAAGATAATCTGGCCCATCGGATCAAGATTAACGAAAGGAAGGAAGGAAGGAAGGAAGGATCTGAATGAATGAATGTGTAGAATGTACTATCATCGATTTTCAGGACTGAGAAGTTGTTGCATCATCAGTTCTTTTCCTATTATCGTCATTTTCATTTTTCCTGTCTTCTCACCATCATCTCCCCGTTTTCTTTTCTTTTCATCTCCCTCTTTCTCTCTTTATTTCTGATCAATTTTCTTTTCTCTCGTTCAGTTACTGGATTTGTCAAGGGCAAGACCCCATCACTTGTTGTCGTACTGCTATCGTTTCTACTTTTTACCATTGTCACCTCCATCACTATCATCACTTTTTTTTTCATTCCTTTTTTCTCGCCTTGTTCTTTGTGTATCATCACATCACCAGCAGGTGTGTACTTGACGAGCTCGATCGCCCTTATGGTGACAGGGGGGATACTGGTGTATATGTACTATTACTACGACTGTTAGCTATAGATAGCCGGAGCTCAGGCTGCACACCTGCTGAACTGAGAGGGGTGTATATCATATTTTCTTGATTTTCATGTTGTGCCAAGATATAAACGAATCTGCTCATGAATCGTGCCTACGCGTCAATGTGACATACGCGGTGTGACGAGTCACGTGCGTGGAAGTTTGTTGTCACGTTTCACATGCCAAGCTCTCTCCTCCACCAATGTGCCTTCGTTGTCATGGACTGCGATCATCTGCAAGGATCTACACTGGACATGAATGTGCTAATGGCTCATTCACGTATGATTTATACTGCGACTTGACTGCCACCCGACGTGCTGCACTGCAACAGATAGCCACGATGACGATGATCCCGATCACAGCAGACACTCCCAGGTGTAAGCACGCCAGCTTACCTGATTTCCCATAATCAGTACCTATACCGTTGCTGATACTGAAATCTAGGCTTCCAGTATCTCACCTTTTGGTGTAACGGTTATGTGCGGGCGGCAGTCTGACCAAGTTACACCGAGCCCGGATGCACTACATCGATGCTCTCCCCTGACGATCATCAAATTCAATTGGCAATTGCAATAGTATCTTTTTATTGCTTCGTTCCAGGCCGCATTGAAATTAGCTTCCTCGGCGTTTGGACATCGATACTACCTTAGACTTGAATGTAAGTATGTGTCTGTCGTTTTGATCGGGGTCTGACATTTCATCACAGCAGGTTTGGAACGTAATCCATCTTTTTAACTCTGGGGTTGTTACGTTCTTTCAGCCAAGGAGTTTATTTTGGGCGGCTGTCCTGGACTATCCTTATGCTGCTAGCGATATCCGCCGGGATGGTCGATCGTCGATATTAATGCGGCGGTCCATGCCGCGCACGAAATATTACCAGCGGATTCTGTGCCCGACATATCCCCGGATCCCACACTGGGACTCTAAGTCTGATGGGTTTAAAGAGCTACCGTGGATTCCAGCTTTGCTGAGGTATATGCGCCTCGAGGTCGTGGTGTGCGGGTACAATACTGCATGCTCAATTCTTCCTCCTTGAGCCTGTCACGCTGCGGCGTTCCATTTCCCTGCTACCCCGAAGGAGAGCTCCATTTCAACGATACAGGATGTCTCTACATTCTGGACCTACGCGAATTTTGGTTATTTCCGAGTCCGTTTTAGCATTGCCTTGAAGGATATAGTCGTAGCCGGTGCTATCGCTACCTCATCAAGTCCCTGTGTTAGCCAAGATGCCTCGAACAAGAAATCACGTTCTCGGCACGCCATACAGCATGCGTATACTCAGGTTATCAGTATCGCGTTCCCTATCGTCACGATGAGGTCATGGTATTTGTTTTACCCTCAGATGGCCTAGTGGCATATTCTAACTACATGCAGGGCCACTCTCATTAGACCGTGAAGACAATGAGCTCGATCGTCAGATGGGCTCGTACAGAAACTTCTGGCCACCGCTATCTGGTTCTACGAGCGAGATCCTCTCCATTTTGATATACTCGATCGCTTACGGCATTTGTATTTTTTCAGGATAAGAGTATGGATTGGGAGTTATTAATTCATTATTACTCATCCCAACCACCGCCCGTCACAGTATCGTGCCGGGCATGAAATGCCATGGTGTCTCGAAGCCGTTCCACGAGTTCCTATTGCTGGGCTCGTCCTCATTATCACCTCCCGCTGACACAACCTTCCCTGGAACGTCGGCTACTCCGCAAACCCAGATACCCTTATGAACGTTCGTCCTTTCCTGCGCTAAAACATCGACTCTCACGATGTAATACTATCGCAACACCGGACTTTATAAGAAACGTTTCGCCAGGCCTTCCTATGGTTCGACAGAGTAGCGTTCAGACGGTCTATCATGCGACATATTGATTTACGGCAAAACTCCTAGTAATCAAGGTTAACATTCTTAGCGAGCTTGTCCCTATTCCAAGCTGGATTCACGATGACATCTGATTCTGACATATGTCTGCCCTGACATCCATATGTTG